GGTTTCCCACCTCCGGTGACATGGGGTTGTATATCCTGGGAGCCCCAGCGTGGGAAAGCTTCCGCCTCCTGGACTCCCAGTTACTGAAAGCCCGCCAAACTGCCATGTCCCCACAAAGTGTCTCCAACAATCTCAGGGCCTCCCCCCAGAGAACGGTAGCTGTCTCCGTTCTTTGGATCCCTGGGTGAAACCAGGCAAGTGAAGTGTCTCCTTTTGGGACACGAATGCTCCCCCTGGCCGCCGCTCGTCCATATGAACGGCAGCCACCAAGGGAAGCACTCAGTTACTAACTTTGAGGTTTCACACTTGTGTTGCAAGTTGCCAACATTCTAATTGATTGGTGTGAACAGTCCAAGGGGCACTGGGGAGGTCCCAGTTCGGGAACCGAACGAGGGGGAAGCAATCCACAAATGCTCTTCCTGGACGGCGTTAGTCTAACTAACGGCCGCCACCTTGGGTAAGCACGCATTGAGGCTTCCCTTGCAGTTTGTGGTTTTGACACCTCCTTACAAGGTGTGAACGTTCCAAGACAACATTCTAATTGGAGTTTTGGGGTGGTCCCCGTTCGGGAGGTGAATGGATTCTGTTCGTGGCGGCTCTCCCGAACAGGGAGCAGCCACCTCAGGCGAACACCTAGAGGGAAATTCATGACTAAGATAGTGAAAATACACGAAAGGAATGTCAAGACAGTAACACACATCACAGAACAATCTGGTCAATTCACAGTTTAGCAGCCCCGCTACACAACTCATGCAAAACAAGTGTTGGTAACTGAAAATAGAAAGAAATAAATACAATTTGGTCAGGAGGGACAAAGTGGTATTGATTGATTGGAGGTGGTACGTGATGCATGTTCTCAGTCTGCCCAATAAGTTTGTTTTGTTTGTCTTCGTATTATCATCTGTTCGTATGGTCAGTTTAGATACTTGTGCCTCTATATCTGTGATTGTGGCCACTATGGTAGATTTTCAGTTGCTGGCAATTAATATATTTGCCATTATCAGAATAAGACTGGGTTCGACAAATCCTGGGATTTGTAAGCCTGTTCCCTCCCATACAGGCGGTCAGCTGCACGTTCTGTTGGCTGACGGCGTGGAAGCTGTGATGTCCCTCGCGCGCTGCTTAGTGATGCCAGAGCCAGAATATGGCATCACTAAACAGCCAAGTAGAGCAGGGAAATCACAGCTCCCCAGCCGACCGCCCACTGAACCCCAGTGAAAACTCCAGCTCTCCCAAAGGTAGGGAGGATGGGGGGAATAGAATTGCATTAAAACAAATGTCTGTCTGTGTGTGTCTTGGTCTGTCATGGTGTGTGCGTCTCTGTCAGTGTGTTTAAGTAACTAGTCCCCCTCCAATCACTTGGGAATAGGGTTTTTACTCTCCTTCACTTTTCCTGTGACCTGCTCCGCCTTTATGGGTCACCATTGATGATCTCTGCCAATCCAATTCTGTCCTATAGGAAAGCCCTGAGAAGCTATTGCGCATACGCTGCACCAATCAGTATCTCCCCATAGATGTGCATTGAATCAATGCATCTCAATGGGGAACCTTCAGCACCTCCACGCAGAGCGTAGATAGGAGATATTACGGACTTTTGTAGCTGTCTGAATGACTGCCACTAGAGGTGTCACTAGGAAGCAATGTAAACATTGCCTTTTTCTCTGAAAAGTGAATGTTTACATTGAAAAGCTTGCATGGACATGCTATAGATACCAGGACCACTACATTAAACTATAGTGATCCTGGTTACTAGAGTCTCTCTTTTTTGAGTTGAAAATAAGTCTTTGTAAGTTTAAAATATCTAACATTTTTAGCTGGCTCCTAGATTCAAAGCAAAGGAATATAATTTTAAGAACATGTCTGCTATTTTGATCAGCTAGAATAAATAACAGGGTTCCGCCTTAGGAGGATTGTAGATTCTGGTTACTTTATATATCAGTTTGCGTACTCTTGACCATTACATATGCAACAAAGGGCAACCCCACCATATTGTAACAGACATCTCCAGCATTTCTCACTGTCAATACCAGGGATACAGGTTAACCTAGCTGGGACCATATACTACCTAAATTCTATCTTACAAAGCGTTTTTATATGCGAAGCACACAGTGTTGTCACTATGTGGATCTCAAGGCACTCAACCATTTAAAGCCATGAGATTGTGGAGACATTTTCACGCTTACATAACCATAACAAATAGACTACTTTAACAGCCGATTTGAGTTTGACACGTGTTCTCTAATTAGTGTAGCTGTCCATCCTCCTGGAAGAGTCAGAAATCGAGTTTGTATTGAACATGGACTTGATTTGGTGCCTATTAAAGTGTTTTTATGGGGTCTCTTACAGAGCTCTATTGCTATGAATCCATACAGCTCAGCATTTGCGCCCATGTCTCCCGCACCTCTCCCACAGTCTTTCTGTTGCTTATACTCTTTTTCTTAATCCAACACCTTACCAGTTCTGCGATTCCAATCCCTTTGTGCTTGATCCTGTACATGAAGGCCGCCATGGTATTTAGCTAGATGGCTGACTGTGTATAATAGCTCTGCTGATGTGACAAGCCTTGCGTGATTACTGCACTAGGTGATTGGGATGGAGTTTGTTATACATAGTTTGTTTGTTTTTAGCAGCATGCTCTTTGTTTCTATTTCAGTACAATAGATATGATACAGAGATGGAGTATAAAGGGAGTAGTGTCCCCTGTGGTGCGCTTTTGGTACTTTCCTCCTTTTGTTAAAATGTCCATTATTATTATTATTTATATAGCGCTGTACAATGGCATCATACACGTGTTCTAAGCAATGCGTAAAAATAACCCAGCTGGTGTTAACAACAATGGTTTTATTCAGTATTTACAAATGAATGGCAAAGCTAGTTAACATTTTATTGAATAACTCACAAATTACTGCTGAAGGGTCTCCTTGGCCAGGCCCACTTCATGGAATTAAATGAGAAATAAAATCAGATTCTTCTCATGGAAGCATTGTCCTATGCTAAACTATAAGACAACTTATTGCTAGACAACTATAGCTAGCTTGTACTGAAAGAGAATGGTTTCATGGTTCATGGTGTCATCTTGACAGCCAGGGGTGCTCCTATCCTGTTTTGTTAAAGTCCTTTCTCATGAAATAGACACTTTGATAAAACATGAGTAATGGGCACCCCACCACTAAAGAACTTCAGCATGCAAGGAGTGTCTTTTGAATGGAAATGATTGCTTTCTGTCTGGTCAGCAGGAGGATTAATAGAGACTGTGTTTTTATTTATGTTGATTTGCTGTTTTCAAATACTGGCAAAAAAGGCTCTTATAGTTCACGTGAGCTAAGTGGCTCTGTCACCTCACTTACCTTTCTCTCCCCTCCCCCCCATTCTCTTCTTTTTCAGTATCTGATCTTTTCTCCATGTCTCATTTATTTATTTTTTTAAACAAAAGGCAAAGTTAGAGACTACTTTGTCATTATGTATATTTTTTTCCATTTACTAATCTTGACAATAGGGTGCTTTGATTCTTATCAGAGAATTAAGCAGTGAGATTGCAGGGGCATGGTCTATACACACAGTGTGACTGCCATTCAAGGTCTCCACCCTCTGCATGGAGACACTGAACTTTCCTATTAGGGATGCATTGAGTCAATTCATCTCTACGAAGAGATGCTGATTGGCCAAGCCGATGTCTGACTTGTGCTGGCTCTGCCCCTGATCTGCCTCCTTGTCAGTCTCAGCCAATCCTATTTATATTAAGTTTTATTTACTGAAAAGTTGTGCTTTAATTTCAAGCATAATACATAATATACAATGTAACAAAATAACTTTTAATTTGTAAGAATACCCCGCACTGCAATTTTTTTTATTTTATTTTTTATATTTTAATTTTTTTTTTTAAACAGAGAAAAACCAAAAAAGTAATGAATATGTAGCCACATGTTCCATAACTAACCTGTTTCATGCTGATTAAAATTCGGGCTGTAATGTATCTTGTATAGAAAACTGTCATTGGGAACCATATTTAAATTAAAAATTGTAATTGACTCCCTAACAGACACACATACAATTTTTTTATTTATTTTTTTTAAACTTTTACTCCACCCAACCTCCCTGCCTTTGGGTGTGCGCTGGCATGGAGTCTCACAGTGGCACATACACACACTTGCACCCACAGATAGATACATACATACACACACACACACACACACACACTCTCTCTCAGTGACACACAGACACACATACTTTTTGACACACACATATTCTCACTGACAAACACATATACACTCTTTGACAGACACACACATACAGACTCCCTAACAGTTACACATACAATTTAAAAAAAAAAAAAAACAAACTTTTTACTCCACCCAGACTCCCTGCATTTGGGAGTGCTGGCATGGAGTCTCTGTCCCTGTGACGACGGAGCAGTGATCTCCCTTGCGCGCCTCTTAGTGAGGCCGGAGTGACATCATATTCCAGCATCACTGCTGTGCGCACGAGGGAGCTGAGCAGGGAGATAACAGCCCACTGCTAGCTCGCCGCCCGCGGCCATTTTGTTTTCAGAAATTTTGGCGGAACACCAATTGGGAAATGCTGATCTAGATAATGCCAGTGTAAGGGTTAACCTGTAAACGTGCAGAAGAAGTTATTTGTCTATCCTGCTGGAGCACTTGCTTATGGCTTGTCTTACAGACACAATTAAAGTTAAGGTTAACCTAACTGCACATACTTTCTAACTACCTTTGTAACTTTAGAACCCATGCCAAGCACTGGCTGATGTACATTCTTTCCCTTCTAATAAACACGTCCTATGTGTGTTTTATTCTGTTCTCCGAGCTCGTAGGGAGAGATCCACCTTTCAGTTGTCAGTCTAGATGATCAGCCATAATTGGGAATCTTTGTGAAGCACCTACACATACAGTTTCCCAATAGTGTGTTTGGATAGATTTTCTCCACTCTAACCCAAGCCTGCAATCCTGTCTAGGAAAAGATGGCTGAATGGGGACCACAGGGAAATGTCCAAACGTTCGAAGGAAGAGAAACCTTTCCACCTTCAGGTACAGAATGATCTTCATAATGAGGTGAGTTTGTATGTTTATTAATTTGAGTAAAAAATTAAGTATTACAAAAATAGCCATTGTGTGCAAATGTATAGGCAAAAGAAATTTTTTTAAATATATTTATTTTTTTAACCAAATCCTTGGTATATGTATGTGAATCAATAACTGCTCATATTGTTCCTTTGGTTAGCCCAAGGTAAAACTAAAAGTTCCATTATGCTTTATCCATCAGAAGGCTTGCAAAGCATCATGGGAGGTGTTCTTAAACATCTGGCATGTTTTATCACCCCAGTTTATATAGAATTATCAAATGTTTCTGAATGACTTTGTGCTCATTTAATGTTTGCAGAACTCCTATAAAGTCGAAAGCTCTGTTACATCCTCTGAAAACCTGCTGCAACGTCATCTGGCTTCGAGGTAGCATGTCTTTGTGTGCAATGTTATAATCTTTTATTTATCTATTTTTAAATGATCGAGTGAGTTGCACATGAGCAGCCCTGGCAGTTGGCTACCAGAGAAAAAAATCATGTTTATTTAGTGCTCAAGGTGTCAATGATTTTCCATCAAAGTAATGGATTGTTATAGCATCTGAACCCTTGTTTCTATCCTGAATTTTTCATCAGTTTAAATAAAACCGCAACATTTTAAAAAAATGCCCAAATGAGCAGCCATTGAAGATTAAATGCGACAGAGGATGATGCGTTGAAGTGTAAAGACACAACATAATAGTATTTTGTGTTTAAACTTTGATGCATCACCCTCTTCTACATTATATTTCTTTTTACTAAAGGGGTTAGGGAAACACTTTTTGATACACCAGTATGCACACTTTATATTTGTAGAAGCGCCAACACACGTTTCCTATTACATTTACAATGCAGGCTTTATCAATATCTCTACAGGAACTGAACTGAGAACCTACACTCCAAAGACTGGCATCTTTAATTAACCCGTTCATTACCAAAGAACATTTTGTTAGTGTAACATTTATTGGGAACGTGGGGTGTATGGCTAGCAAAATCTTATGATAAAACCAAATTTTGCGCCTAGATTGTTGTTGAGACAAACCTAAAAATAAAAGTGTACAAATTTGCATTTCACTGTATTTATTCGTTCATCCTTTATATGGAAATATTGAGGGAATGATGAGCTTCAGACAGTATAGCATATCCCTCTTCTTGCAATATTTCACACTGGTTCTGAGATTTTTGTATAAAAGTTTAAATACAAAAATAAAAAGTTGTGTGTGTCCACACTGCCCCAGGAAGCACCTCTAGTAGCCATCTGAGGAGTGGCCAACGGAGTTATCACTATGCTGTTAAGTAAACACTACATTTTCTCAGAAAAGACAGTGTTTACTGCAAAAAGCCTGAAGAGAATGATTTTACTCACCAGAACAAATACAATAGGCTGTAGTTGTTCTAGTGACTATAGTGTCCCTTTAATTGTTATGGTTATGGGGGTAGGCGTATTTCTTTAATGAAGCACAGATTAACACTGGTCAGAGTAAACAAGTCACATTTTCAGCTGGCAAGAGAAAACTTTGAGCTTTTGGTTTAAAGATGTTGAGTGGCGGTAAGAAAGCCATTGCTGTAAATAAATTTAAAGAGGCTTGCCTGGGCTGTGATGCAATGTTAGTGGACTACTGTGGCAGACCGACTGGCGCCCCAACCGGGTGCCTCCGTCACTCGATGCTCCTAGTGCTCACAGAGGACTCCAAGCACTCCACCCGGCACCATCAGCCCCACGTCCAGCGTTACAGCTTGGCTGGGAACTCTGCGTCCTCCACCCACCCTGGACCCAAGACCAGGATCCAGCTTCCAGTTGATGAACCTCTCCTACTCCAGAGAACGTAGCAGGAACAGCTCCTAAAAGAGCTAGTGATTATAATCCCAGGGAAGTATAGTGATATAGCAATCCCCAGGGTAGATACAGCCGTTTCCCACACACGAGATGAGACTCTATGTTGAGGGTAAGCAGGAACTCTCTTTTAATGGAGCCACACTGGCCTTTTATGCAAGTTTCCCAACAAGGGTGACACCCACCTAGACCTTGTTGGGCACAGGGACACAAATTAACAAACCAATAAAAACAGTGTTATACAATGAGACAGTCCCATACAGTATACACAATCCCTCCCCTCTGCCTGAGAGGTAATCAAGACAGATAATGTATTAACTTAATTATCTCCAGGCAGAAAAAACACAGATTTTTCTAAACCCCAAAACACACAAAATCCCCACAAAGATACATGCCCTGATAGCCCTGACCTGGGTGAACAACATATTCAGAAATCACCCAGACCAGGGGTTCAGGAAATTCCTGGAAGTTTCTTTTTGACCGACCGCACGCATGGTTTCATTCCATAAACCGTTCCAGAGAATCAGGCTGTGCGGCCGGTCTATTCCCAATAGTCTAAATACTGTTCGAATAACTGAACATGCCATTCGTGAACGTAATCAGTATATGTCCTTTGTTCGTGGGTTTCTGCTTACCGAACTCTGTTCGAATAGCCGAAGTTCCATGGAAGGTAACTGTTCCGCGGTGTTTGTGCCGTCGTGTGTCTGATTTGAGTTCCATGAACTCAACGACAAAACACAGCTGAACATGTTCGACTAAACAAGATGGCCACAGCCGCCACGTGTTCAACTGTCGAATAGCGGCCACTTTGACTGTTCGAGAGTTAAAGTGCCAGTTCGAAAGTTCGAAGGACTACTGTACCATCCAAAAGGGCACAAACAGTACTTTTAAACAAGGGTTATCTCAGGGCCCATAGTCCCAGGGTAGGAGGCTGGCAAACAGGCCCCCAAAAAAAACAGTGGCGAGGATACCTTCGCCACAACTACTGAAGACTAGAATTTGTTCGTATGGCATAATGAATCTATCTTAGAAAAATCTTTGGTTCATTGTGCAGCATTTTTGGATAGCCTTGAGTTGGTGAAAGAATGGTTTGTTATTGTGTGACACCAGCTGTCCAACATGAATGCAGACAAATGATGGCCTGGGGCTCTCGTGCTGGATCCAGAGTTGGTGACTTGCACTGAGTGGGTGATACCCTGAACAAATAGACTACCCCAGCATTTTAACCCTAATTGGTCAAGGGATCATTTCAAATCATTGAATGGCTAACACAGTCTACACACTTAAACACCGGTGCACTGGTTCTAGATGAACTGGAGACTAGGGTGAAAGCAAACTGCAGATGCCACTCATGTGTGAAACACTCTGCAGCAATGCTTGGAATACCTCTTCAAATGTTTTTATTAATGAATTTTTAATAACACAATAATACAGTGGAATATTTGTAACTAACATCATCCAATTCTATAAAATATATATATATATATATTCACACACACATAGATACAGTAATCTATTGAACAACTAAAAAAAGTAAGTTAAAGCCAGGTCAAAAAAAAAATAAAATATATATATATATATATATATATATATATATATATATATATATATATATATATATATATATATATACTGTCGATGATGCTTATAAGCAAAAACTTCCTTTGACATCCCTTTCCCAGCTTGTCCAATCTTGTCTCAGCGATTCTAAAAACACAGGGAGTCCTAAATGCCAGTTCACAACACTTTGACTCGAATATGCTACGGAAGACCTCTGTCCTGCATCGAATGGTGTCAGACTTCCAGTACCTGGAATATCTTTCTGAAGAAAATGTGACTTCCATTGTAGAAATAATCCCCTGAATCTTTGGTTATACCTGCAAAAAGTGATAAGTGGGGGGGATTCTCAAGTTGATTTGCTGTGTGCCTTATTATTCGAGCATGCTGAGACATTAAACTATCTTAAAGGGACACCGTATCTGCACTGTATCTGCTTCATCTCATTAAACTGGTTATAGTGTCTGGAGTGCCCTGGTACCATCATTTCTTTCAGCATTAAACAGTTTTTAATGTTTTTATGTTTTAATGCTAAACAAGAGTCCCTGGCAGTCTATCCCATCTGTGCAGCTTTGGCTAATAAGGAAGTATTAGCCTGAGCAGCAGTGGACAGCTGTGATTGGCTGAGAGTGTCAGCTGACTGCTTTCAGCCTGTCAGAGCTCCAACTGACGGTATGAATGGGTATGACAACAAGGAAGTGTGTAATCTCTGCCTTAGCTACACATACAGAAGGGGCTGGACTGTAGGTGGCCAGGGACTCTTATGTTGTGGCATACTGCACAAACATGGTGCAACACTGAATGGAGGGACAGTGCCAGGGCACTGCAGGCACTATAACCAATTCAAAGAGATGAAATGGTTATAGTGACTACAGTGTCCCTTTAAGTTATAGTTACATAGCCAAAAAGAGACTTGTGTCCATTAAGTTCAGCCTTCCTCATGTGTTTTTGCTATTGATCCAAAGTTCAATAAAAACAAAACTATTGACTGTCAGTGTGTGATTTTAATATGTTTTGGTATGTTTTCCTCCTGTGAAGTGATACTTCTGTAGAATTTCTTGTAACATGAGTTGGTATAATCTAACTTGCTAATGCCCCCGCATACCATGAATATGTCTGTCTCTTTGCTTTGTTACTTTGCCATATCAAGAGAGAAGGCAGTGTTTACATTACTGCCTAGGAATACTTCTAGTGGCAGTCACTCAGACGGCCACTAGAGCTGCTTTCTGAGTCCATTCAATATGAGAAACTGCTGGTTGGCGCAGTGTTTTGGCCGCGCATGTGCAATAGCCTCCCAATGTTTTCTATGGGATTGGGTCATTACATTTGTTGATCTCAGTCAAGGAGACGGGTCAGAGTTTAAGTCACATGCATCTTAGAAATTACTTGTTTTACAAGCTTTTAGATGGATGAAATTTTTTATTTTTTTTTAAATTAGTTTTTTAAAAAGCAGTCATTTGTAAAAACAGATGACAGAAGTGAAGGAAACCAAGCTTTTTAAAACCTTGTACAGAATCCTGTTTTGTTGTGACTGCAGTTGAGAACATCTAGTCTTCCAAATATGACTTTCCCCGTACCTCTCTCCCCCTTCCCCCCCTTTTTTAAATATATTTTTAATATTCTTTAAGATTTGCATATAAAGCATTTCACTCTTTACTGTTACTTCATTAAAATCGTGTTCCACACAGTTACCACCAGAACTTTAAAGTCGCCAGGTTACTGTGTGGGGTGGTTTTGATGTATAAAGCATGCTCGTGCAGTCTCACTACTCAATTTATTATTTTATTTTTTTTCATTCAGGCTGTGTGAGACACAGCAATGGGAGGTGTTTCCCTGGCAATGCAATGGGTTGACTGTGAACTTTGAATAAAAATGTAAAACACGTATTGGGTTAATGCTCTGTCAATAACAGGCCCACTTTCATATCATACAGATCTCACTCAAGTGACTGATTTTACATGTACAAAACCTTTCACCTACAATGTATGGAAATCCAAGTAAAGTTTAATTCTTTGTTTCTTTAGTCCAAAGGTAACTACACCGTGGCTGGATGAGAACAGCAATGTTGTCCCTCCTGGCTGCACCAACAACAACGAAGAAGGGTGAGTAAGGAGGACTTACAATGACTAGAGACTAATCTCCAACTGTAATACTCCAAACTTGACAAACCTTCAGATTCTTTCACATTCCCTCTGGAGGTGGATAATGGGAATGGCTACTGGGGAGGGGGTGACCAATCATTGGTCCAGGACGACCTAGGCCTATACACTGACTGCAGAGATAAATTATGGAATAGCCGAAGGTAGCATATAGAACAAAGGGGATGATCTGCAATGAAATGGTACATGTCGAAATAAAGGACATAGAGATGTGCAATGTAACTAGACTGATATCCTAGTCTGGGAGTCTTGTTAACGATTTGCTTTTAATGGGGTCTTAAATTAATTTTAGACATCAATTGCTTCCTTGAATAGAGTCTGTGACTGGGAGCACCAGACAAGCCTCCTACAGGCAGGCAGTTTTCTTGCTCTCCCAGCTATTCCAGCACATACTCTCTAGTTGCTGTGATATTCCTGTAGTTTCCATTCTAAGAGACGCTCACCCTGCTTGCAGATGTATTCTAAGCAATGACCCTCATTGTAGGGAGGGCTTAGGGTTGTTCACATTAGTGTAACACCCACAAAGATACAGTGATGGCAGTGCAGTTGCTGGTGGGGAGAGTTAAGGGACCTTCTAACGTGAAAGTTTTTAACGGCTTATGTGGCAAAACTAGCCACTTAAGACTGTATTTCCAGTAATGTGATTTTGTAACTTTAAGGCTATCTGAACTGAGTATATTAACTTGTATGTAATTTATGCGAACGAGAGTATTCGTATGCTGGCGGCATGAAAGCCACCAGCATTTATACAGTAGTTTCACGAACAGTGAATTTCAACACTGTTCGTGAAACGAACAAACTACCGAATGGGAGATCACACACAAGAGGTTGTGTGGCTCCCATTAAGTATCGCAACATTGTATCTTTCGGTAGTTAATGGATGTTCAGGGTGGCCGCCGTTCAGATACCGACCACGCGGCGGTCGGCCATCTTGGATCCTTTGTTAGCCCAGCGGTATTTTGTCGTTGAGTGCCTGGAACTAAAACCAGCTACTCGATGGCACGAATACCGCTGGACTTCCAGGCCGTTCGGGAGCACCGGCCTTTCGGTATTTCATCCTTGCTGGTCTATTCGTGCCTTTGGTGAAAAATGTATGTTTAGGTGTATTTTGTGCGGCGTTCGGCTAATTGTGCTGGGATCTTAGCGGTACTTTCACGAAGTATGCGCTCAGACCCCAGCTATCTGCCGAACGGTCATTCAATATAATAGCATGAATAATGTTAAAGTTATACATTTTTATGTAAAAAGCCAGTTCTGCTGCACGAAGGGATAATCCACTTAACTGGATATTCTAGTGGGAGTATCCCTCTCGTACAGCAGTGCATGGTGGGAGAAATGTCTTGGTTGTTAAGTTCCCCATGTAGTCCCCTACTGTACAACCCCTGTAAAGTCAGTAGGGAAGCCCCTTGCATGGGGAACCACATAAATACAGTGCCCTGTGAACAAAAACTCAGTTGACTGTGTCGTCTAGGTCTTGGGAAGGAAGGATTTATACAACGCTACCGGGATTATTGTATGCTGTATTTATTTTACCTGGATTATTCTATGCTGTTCCTGTCTACCAGCGGAGATATTGTGGATTATACTACCTCTCCGCTACAGTTTATATAGATAATACAATAAAAATATACACCAGAAAATTACCTTTTTAAAAAATGTATATTTATAAAATTGCAAAGTGTCCCTCTGCTTTGTTTGTTTGTCAAAAGTTCTTGCAGTCCTAGGATAATGGGGACTGCTCAGTAAACTGTTGTGACAGGTTCACTTTAAACAAACTTATGGCTGTTGGCAGTGCGCACATTTTTTTTTTTCTTTCCAATGCTCCACTAAGTTCAGCAAGACGTGTTTGTTGTGTTTTGTTTTGTACTCAAGTCCTCGTTGAAGAGGTTATAGTTATAGTGCCCAGTATTGAAGACTCTGCAAATTGTTCAGATATTCAAATGGTAACTAGAGCTGACTGAACCCCAGTTTGTGAAGTCATCTGTTGGGAAACCATTTGTAGCTGGTTTACAGTAAAACAAAAACGGCTTGAGTTGATCTCCTGTACTCTGTTTTAGTGTCTATGTTGCTCATTTATGGCTTGTCAAACTATATTTTGTTCGTTTTCTTTATACTTAAGGTCCAAAGAGTTGAACTGTAATTATGAGATTGAGAAAGATAAAGTTACAGGAGAGGTGAGTTGTTATAAAATGAAGGGAATTGGGGTATTCTGTAAAATGGTGTAGAATTCCCTCTCTTTTTTGGTGCTCTATTTATTTGCTAAACTACAATGAATGTTTAACCATAAGAAGCAGACTTTTTAGATAACATATATCGAGTTAGACCAATGGTTCCCAAGCTTTTTTCACTCGAGTACCCCTTGGCAGCCCATTTCCATAAATTGTACCCCTCACATTAGCAAAATGTTGTAAATAATATAGTTGCATTTATTTCAAATTTATACATTTTTCTTTGTTCAATCTCCCCTTTTTATATGCTCTTCCTGCTTGTCCTCTGCCCCATGCTCTTCCTGCTTGTCCTCTGCCCCATGCTCTTCCTGCTTGTCCGCTGCCTCAAACACACAAACTGTCACACATGCAAACACTGACAGACTTATAGATACAGATATGCACGCTTTCATAAATACAGATCCACAGACCCAACGCACATATGCAGTTACAGTGAAACACAGATACATACACTGACACACGTGCAGATACACAAATGACACACACACAAAGATACTGACACACCTATACGAACACACATGCAGATGCATTCCCTGACAGATATACACATACCCTGACACACACGCAGATACAGATAGATACACACACACACATACCCTGACACACAGGTACATACATTAGCCACGGCAAGACCGTCGCTGCGTGGGAAAACGGGTAAGTAAAATCACAGAGGGGACTGGTCACCTAAACAGACACTCACTAAGAGACAGACAGACATACACTTGCTCGCAGACAGACCCACACACACAATCTCAGACACACACATTCAGAAGTTGAAATTTTAAAAATTATTTTGATTGAAACCCATTAAACCTCCTTACCTTTTGGATAGTGGATAGGCTTTCCCTGGGGTCCACTGAGGCTGCTGTCATCTCCCTGCTCTGCTCCCCGTTTAGTATGCCAGGGGCCGGAATGACGTCATTTCCTGGCTCCCGGCATCTTTGCAGGGCACGCGAGGGAGCAGAGCAGGGAGATGACAGCTCACTCCCCCTCCCTTTTTATTTTTACAAGGTCAATAAAATGATTACCATTAATAGCTTTGGGACCTCAGGGTGTACTTTGAAATCGTTAAATGTACTATTCATGGTAAGATACTTTTTATGAATAATAAATCGAACCTGCAAATTAACAAATTAGTGGCCATTCTATATAGGAATACATAAGAAATGGCAATGGGTATACAGAGGCAAACTATATGTGACTTGCTTGCAATTTAATTTTTACAACTGTAGCACCATTAAAACCCTATATTTTATTTATTCATCTTGCATATATGTAAGATATACCAATACATCTCATAATATGTTCGTGTATTACTGATAACATTACGTGTCTGGGTAAAACTCCCAGGAAAAGAATGCTGTCTGAGAAATATTAAATATCTTAGTATTTTATTTTACTTTTAGATTTCAAATCAAAATTCTGAATCTTCTTCGGGTGACTCTATAAAAGTGAGCTCAAATTGTCAAGATCCTTCCCAAAAAAACAAAGAACCTGTGGTTCAAGTTTACTCTGAAGAGCACATAGATGACAAGAATACTGTGGATTACCCAAAGAGTAAAGAACGTCTTGTTATGGAGGAAAACCAACAAGAAGTGGCAGGCAGTTCCAAAAAGAGAGAGTCCAAACATGTGCAGAAGCTCAATAAAATTGAAGAATCAGAAAAGTCTGAAAGGAAAAGACTGAAGGAGCATGCAGAGGAGTCAAAGAGAAAAGAAGGTTCTGATCGTGGGGAGAAAGAGAAAAACCATGTGTCAGAAAGCACTGGATGTAAAAGAAATGACAAAACAGACCATGAAAATAAGGAAAATGTGAGGAAGGACAAGAAAGCCATCATAAAGAAGGAAATATCTAACAGTCAGTCCTCAAGTAACACAATTACAGAAAAGGAAAGCTCAGGCGTGTCCATGGAAGGCCCAAAGCAAAATAAGATTGATTTAGATAAGGTGGTCACCAATAAGACCCCACAGTCCTCAGAAAAGACACCAACTACAATAGAAAAAAAGAAGAAACAACACTCCGACAAGTCTAAAGACAAAAACAAAACTAGGGAAGAATTAGTGCATCTTAAAACAGAGAAAGACATAGCCAAAGAAAAGTTTCAAGGACATAGTTTAACAGAATTTGAAAGTGATTTGAAGAACATCACCGAGGAAACTAGGATGGTAGAAATGGTTGTAACCACAAAGATTGTAGATAATAAGGCTGTTCCCGACACAGAGGAAAACACTGCTGACCTGGAAAAAAGTAATGAAAAGAAAGAGAGCGGCTCTGCTGAAAGGTCAAAGAAGAAAGAAAAGTTGAAAAAAAGTGGTAAGGAGAAAAGGGAGAAGGAACTAGAGGAGAAGATTCATAAGAAGAAAGACCATTCAAAGCATGAGAAATCTTCTAAAGGAATCAAGAGGGAAGTGGATGAAGAGCCAAAGAAAGAATCGTCTGAGACCAAGAAAAAGAAATATAGGGATAAATCTGAGAAGCACGATTGCAACCAAAATGATGAAGGGTCATCCAGTAGGAAAAGGAAGGTGGATGGTGGAGCTAGAGTGTCCACAGCCAAAAAAATCAAAGTAGAAACGAAGGCGGAGGACAATTCCAAGTGGAAATGGTATGTGTCTGAGGGGAGTTTGGGGAGAAATCCATAACGGCAGTAGTTGCAGTGTTGTATGTATTAAAAGTAAGCAATTGTCAGACATATTAATGAGATTAGGATTTCATTGACTGTGGCTCCCAGGACCTGCAAATCAGGACTTGCTGTTAGGCTTGCTATACTTCTGTTAGTGTCACCCTCACAAACTAGTCATCTGCTCAGAGGGACTGTATCACTCTACCTGGATTGTATAGAATAAGCGGATACAGGACTCTAGTGTTTAAAAAAAAAAAAAAAAAAACTTTCTGAAATGTTCAATTCCTTATTTTAATATAATGAATCACCTGTTTGTAGATTGATTTCTTTGTATAGCCGTATGCGTCTGTTAAAGTTGGCAGAGGTTGGACGGACTCTGTGGTGATCATCCTAAAAGGACCACTCCACTCTTCCAACCCCTCACAGTTTAGTAGATATACCCCCAATGAATACATACATGCATGTATTCATTGGGAGCATAGTCTAAAATAAAAGTTCTTATGACTGCAGCCTTTCAGTCTCTTCACAGGGAAATAACCAGTCAGAGGCTTCCCATTGAGAAGCCTCTGACTTGGTCCCTCGTGCACACTCGCGCGCATGTCCTCCCTGGCTGTTTGACAGCCAGGGGAGTGTTCTCTAGTTAATTTATAAAAGTGCTGATTTCTTACAGAAATCAGCACTTTTATAAACTTGGGTTAAATGAGGATACTCCTCAGCCATAAAGCACTTGAGAAAGCTAAAGTGCTTTTGGGGTGTGGAGTGGTCCTTTAAGGGCTTTTGGTGAGATTGCTTGTGCACAGTCCATGCAATAGCTGTCAGTCATGCTTTATTCTTAAGACAAAAAACAAAACAAAGTGTTGACGTGTAAAAATAATATAAGCTATTATATATGCTCCCAACCGCTTACAATTACATCACACATATAATAAAATAGTGCACCAATTGTAATACTATACTTAATCTGATGATCAGGATGCTCTTCAAACAAATTTCATATTTCCAGGAACATAATAGGCCTCTAAAAAAAAAATTAATTTTTTTTATATGTATGTATATGTATATGTGTGTGTATATATAAATATATAACAAAATCTAGGCAGTACTTGCACTCACGCTTTAGTGAAGTATATGCCGGGTGCTAGTAATCCAGGGAAGCAAATGTAGATCTCGAGTAGTGATCAGCACTCCCATACTTGAAGAGTTAAAAATTCGAAGTTTATTAAATTTTCATTAAAATATGATAATTTCAGTTTAAATTATGCTGGATCCTGATTTTCACAGTGAGAAGACGCCAGCGTCCATAGGAAAGCATTGTGAATGCTTTCCTATGGACTGGCTGGCTGCGCGCGTGGCTCCTGCCGCGCATTCAGCCGAGGAGAGTCCCCCGCCCGGTGCTGGAGAAAGGGGTACGTTTAACCCCTTCCACCCCCTAGAACCTGGAGGGAGGGGCACTATAGTGGTCCTTTAATAAATGGTGACTGCATCCGGGTTCTGCTTTGCAGAAGCGGAATGCACATCACCAGATCTTCAAGACCCTTGGTGTCCGGTGGGTACCTAGGTAAGAGGACAAACATTTGCAAAATGGTTTGCCTTATTACTGGGGATCGGGTCCAGGGTACTCAATCGTAGCCAGCACAACTTAGAGTAAAACTTTTTTAATATAGCTCTAAAAGGGAACTGTTCCTTCCCAGGATTTTTTTATTTTAGGTTTACCTATCCCTATATTAAATATGATTATATTTTTTTATTTTATTTTTTTTTGAGGTGTGAAAGTAAAATTTGATGTAGAAATCCACACCCCATATATCATGTAACTGGGCGCCTCCATCTTGGCTCCCTGTCAATCAGTTACAAGCTCTGTTCTTGACAGCATAGAGAGAGCAGACAGAGATAAAACAATGATTTTATTTCTCATGTTTGCCCTGGATTTACCTTGTCTGAACTGGAACATATAGTTTGCTAAATCTTGAATATTAAAAGGAGTTTGGACATCTCATGTAGGTCGTTTTCATTGTTTTATTCAATTTTGACAAGACATTCAGACGTGTAAATGTTAGATTGCTAAAACGAATACAAGAACAAATGTGACATGCAGGGGTCAAAAGTCTAGCAGTCACACACAAGGAAGGTTTACAGGATATATGTGCTTGCACTGACAGGATTAAATTCTAGCTGTACGTATTCCACAAACCTGTTGCCAGTCTGTCAGCTGCAGATACTGAGACTTTATCCTCTAAAAACTACTTATCCCAGCAGCACTCTCCTGCAGCTACGTTATTGGTTAAAATCCAGGAAGTAAGCAATCTGTGTGAAAGGTCATCTGAGCTGCAACAATGAGCCATGTGCCTGCATCCACACTGCATCTGAATGTCTCCCAAACCCTTTCCTTATGCATTGAACGGACATGCTCCAGAGCGGCTGCCGGCTGCTCCTGGGGCTGAGGTCTGGTGGCATTGCTGTGGTGTCTGGGTGCCGTTTCAGTTGCAATAGGAGGAGACTATTTACATGTGCTAGAGTTTGGTAAGCTTGTAGCCAGTCTCTGACTGCATGTTACAGTTGGAAAGACATGCTGATAACTTGCTGAATTCAGAGTCTCTTTGTGAGTCTGACAGTCAGTGTCCTTTAACTGTTACTGCCGCAGAGTTTTTCTGAGCTCTCAGTCAATCCTTGCCTTAATGTAGTAGTATTTTTATTATTTATAAAGCGCCAAGTTCCGTAGTGCTGTACAATGGGTGAACTAACAGACATGTATTTGTAACCAGACAAGTTGGACGCACAGGAACAGAGGGATTGAGGGCCCTGCTCAATGAGCTAGAGGGAGTGGGGTATAGTGACACGGAGGGTAAGTATAGGTTAGAAAAATAGGTTGCTAGGATATGTTATAAGTGACTCTGGCAGTTTTCCATGATTCCTTGTTAGTTTATTGGTTTATCCCTTTTCTCTTTCATTGGAGTAATCCATCTGTCAGATAAATAGGTGCTTACTATTGAAACGTTTTTACGGTTAGCCCTCCTCTCCTGTGAGCCATAAATAGATATAACAAAGAAAAAATGGGGCTGCCATTGGTCATCTCCTGAACAGTTTAGAGAGATCCCCTTCTTTTGGTTTGCAGCCTTAATTTTGATTAAGAAGTGCTAAACGTGCTATATATTATATACCTTTTTCCCGGTGCCATGGCGTCCTCTGGCTATTGTCCAATCCAAATGCTTCTCATAGAGGATCTTTGTGAACCTGATGGGTGCGTGCATCAAAGCTTCCACCATCGTTAAACATTGAATAAATGCTTTTCTATGGGGACTTCAGTTTCTCGTGACTTTTATTGGTTGATTGTCATTGTAACAGCCACTAAAGGTGTGTTTAACCCTCCAAGGTAATCATTACACTGCAAATGAAGAGGAGAAATAGAAACATGTCATATGTATAAAAAGTGTTTGTTTTCTAAATAGCAGTCTAAAGTATAATTTTCAGGTTGTAGTGTTTTGTACCAGTTTTATAGGGGCTACCATGTATAATGAAGGGGCTTTTTTCTTTTTCTCTCTTCCCATTAGGTGGGAAGAAGCAAATTATGAAGATGGAGTGAAATGGAAATTCTTGGAACATAAAGGTCCCTATTTTGCCCCTCTTTACGAGCCCCTTCCAGACAACGTTCGCTTCTACTACGATGGTGAGAGCTTTAACCCCTTAAGACCGGAGGGTGTACTATTACGCCCTATTTTAGGCGGCTCTAAACGCCGCCGGGCGTAATAGTATGCCCTCTGGTCTTTCTATACTTACCTGGAAGCCGGCGATCGCGGTTGGGGGGACTCCCAGGGAGCCCCCTGCGGCACGTCCGACCCCCCTGGCAGCACCCCCGGCCATGTGAGAGTGAGGTCCTTGTGAGGACCTCACAATCACATGGCTGGGATAGCTGGCTGCTGTATTGCCAGCAGGGGGGCTGCCTGTAATGACAGGTGGTCCCCCTGCTGGCTGAAAATAAAATTTAAAAAAAGTTAAATAAGTGTAAAATATATATATATATATATATATATATATATATATATCTATCTCAAATTACATGTAGACTGATACTGATTAAATATATATAATTATTGTTATATATATATTTATATATAATATAAAAAATTAAATATGTAAATACATTAAAAAATTAAATTAAAAAAATTAAATATATAGATGTGTTATTTCGTTCTAACTGTATTGTGATATTAATATATATATATATTTATATCAAAATACACGTAGAACGAAATATATATATCTATATACATAAATATATACGTATATATCACTATACATCATATACCTATATATAAATAAAAATATTAAAATTATATATATTCATATATATATGTATTCTACATATATATTTATGTAATATTTTTACATAATTAGGTATCTTAATTAATTACAATTAGCGGGACCTGCCTGACAACCCATGTCGAGATTAAAGGGAATTTAATTTGCTAGCACTATATTTAACCCTATAACTTTCCAATACACCATAAAATCTGTACATGTGGGGTACTGTTCGACTCAGGAGACTTCGCTGAACACAAATATTAGTGTTTCAAAACAGTAAAATGTATTACAACGATGATATCACCAGTAAAAGTGAAGTTTTTTGCATTTTTCACGCACAAACAGCATTTACACGGACAATATTATTGCTGCGATACTTTTTACTGTTTTGAAACACAAATATTTGTGTTCAGCGAAGTCTCCCGAGTACAACAGTACCCCTCATGTACAGGTTTTATGGTGTTTTCAAAAGTTACAGCGTCAAATATAAGGCTTGTTTCATTTTTTTCACATTAAAATTCGCCAGATTGGCTACGTTGCCTTTGAGACCCTATGGTAGCTCAAGAATGAAAATTACCCCCATGATGGCATACCATTTGCAATAGTAGACAACCCAAGTGTGACGAGACCAATCTCGCCACATTGCATTGGAGAAGCCTGGTTGCTCGCCTGCTGCCTTTGGACTATGGCCCCCTGTTAAAAGACATCTTTTTTACTTGCAGAAAAGCTTCATTCATGCTTCTCTGCCTGGGGTTCGGTAGATTTGTTTGAATGTGTTATACCCCAGATAGGAATCCCATGGAGCCCATTCGTATGAAACTGACTGTAAAGACTTTGGCTCCATGGCGATTAAACTGTATTCGTGTGGTCTGAGCGCCATTCACTTAATAATGTGCGCTCAGACCTGAGCTATCTGGGGATATGTTAAATGTATAGTTTTAATGTAATGTGTCTTACCTGATGTATTTTAAAGTATAATACTGGTTTTGTGTCCCCACATGTGTAATGGAGTTTTGCCTTTGTCTTGGGAGATAATTGAGTTACTTCTCAATTATCTCCCAGGGCAGAGGGGAGGAAGCCAGGATGCATTGTGGGAATATACTGTGACTGTGTGTCCTATTTGTCTACTTGTCTGTCCCTTGTCACAGTCTCCCATTTGGTCCCCTAGGGGAGTGTCCACCAGGTGGGAGACCTGCATAAAACCCGGGCAGGTAGCCCTCATTAAACAGACCACTGCTTAACCCTCAACACAGAGCCTTGTCTCGTTCTTGGGGGGATTCACTGTATGCTGTTAGAGACTGATTGCCAGGAGTGTAAGCTGATTGTCTGCTTTTCCTGTTCGTCTGCTAGCAGCTATTTGGGAGGTTCCTGTTCGTGTATTTGGAGTGCTATATTGGATGCCGTTCGGGAGTTTGGAACATTCACTTATTGGCGGTTCGTGTGTTTGGTGTTCTGCAGTAGCTGTGCCTGCATCTCCGGAAAGGGGGCCGATCGCCTAAACGGTTTTTTCCCCTTTTGTGCAAAACGGTCCGTTACACCAAGGTATTGTAAACGGGGTATGTCCAGTCTTTTTTTAGTAGCCACTTAGTCACAAACACTGGCCAAAATTGGCATTTTTTGCATTTTTCACACACAAACAAATACTAACACTAATTTTGGCCAGTGTTTGTGACCAAATGGCTACTAAAAAAGACTGGACATACCCCATTTGCAATACCTTGGGTTATCTACTATTGCAAATGGTATGCCATTATGGGTGTAAATTTCTTTCCTGGGCTACTATAAAGTCCCAAAGGCAACGTAACCAATCTGGCGAATTTCAAATGTAACGTGCTATATTTGACCCTGTAACTTCCCAAAACGCCATAAAACCTGTACATAGGGGGTACTGTTTTACACGTGAGACTTTGCTGAATATAAATATGTGTATTTTATTGCAGTAAAAGCAAACAGTATTATGACATTGACCGTTAAAATGTCATGTAGAACTAAAAAAAATTTAAAAAATATTATTTTCTCCCATTTTTTTCATATTAAATTATGTTTCATAGCTAAATATTTGATATTAAATGAAAGCCCTGTTTCCCCTGAATAAAATGATATATAATAAGGGTGGGTGCATTTACTATGAAAGAGGTGTATTACGGTTGGACAGACATGTAGCGCAAATGCCAGGTTTTGTTTACATTTTGTTTTGTTCACAATGTGTACATTTGGCTCCGTCCTTAAGGGGTTAAGGGGTTCAGGATGGAGGCAATTGTACAAGTTCTGATCAAAACAAACCCTAGAATAGAATTATATGTTTGTTCAACCGTAATTCACCTCTTTCATGTTAAGTGCTCCCACACTTATTATATATCTTTTTGTTTAGTAGAAACAGGGCGTTCATTTCACATCAAATATTTCAATATGAATCAAAGCAAAAAGTAGGAGAAATTAAGAAATTGTGTTATTTTCTTAGTTCTGTGTGGCAGAACTATCGATACATGTCCTGATGAAAGTCCTCGATTCCTCTTTTGTATGTACATTTCTTTTTTGGATTACAAATAAAGATAGAGTATATTACGACTTTATATATGTAGATCTATTTATTAAGGTCAAAATACAGTCAGTGATTCATCGGCAGGAAGCGCCCGCATGGGAAGTATCCCGGAGGCTCCAGTGATAATGAGTTCTATGCCCATTATAATGCGTATGGCATAGAACAGCGTTAAAGTGTGTAAATGGAGATCGATTGCCCAGCAGAGGCTTTACATACAGTGTAACAATAACTGCATATACTCTGTGGTACTAATTATGAACAATGCATGTTACCATATTGTTAACAATATAAAGTAATCTGCACGACTGGAGTTTCACGTTCACTTCTGTTTGCAGGGAATCCCATGAAGCTAACTCTCGCCACTGAAGAAGTTGCCACTTTTTATGCTAAAATGTTGGACCATGAATACACTACAAAGGAGGTTTTCCAGAAGAATTTCTTTGCTGACTGGAAAGAGGTGAGAGGAGTTTCCATGGTTGTTGCTGAAATGTTTTGCCTGTCATAATTGACGTATAACATAACTCCTGTTAGCTTGTAGAGTGACAGCCACAAGAGGTTTTCTTGGCTAACAATGCAAACACTCTTTACTCCGAAAACCGGTGTTTGATTTGCTGGGATTGCACGCATCTGAACTTCTACATGCTGTGTCGATTCTAATACTTTGTGTCCCTTTAAGAGACGTACATGGACTGGTAGGGCTCAATTAATTCAAACAGAGATCTGAGAGAATGTCTGTGGACTTTGTCATTTGGATGTATATCCTTCCTGCCACATTTTTACCCGAGGAGAAAAAATATATAGTGCAGTGATTTCTAACATTGAAAGTAAAATTCACTCTTATTTTAAAATTCTTAGAATTTTTGTTTCTTTCAAAATGATTGTTTGCCATGTTTTATAACAGATAAAATGTTCCAATGGGGCGTTGGGGTGTTACCCTATGAATGTGTCTGTAAAATCCTTTACTGGCTCTTATATGCTCTACCCCTTAACAATTTGTTTCAGCAAATGACAAGTGAAGAACGAAAGTTAATTAGGCATCTGCATAAGTGTGATTTCACGGAAATTCACAAGTATTATGTAGATAAGAATGAAGCTCGGAAGGCATTGCCTAAGGAAGAGAAGCAGGTAAGAACTAAAACAATGCATGAACAAGTGTCTGTGTCTAGTTAAAATAAATCATAATACCGTTAAATATACTGTAGAAGAATGCCTACTTGTTTGATCCTTTAATATTCAGAATGTAATTACTTATTGGGTTTAACTAAATTAATCGACTTGTGTTAAAAGTGAATTTTAAAATGTAGGCAAACTTCACCCACTCTACTTGAGTTGCAGCCTGGATATTTTAAGCTGGACTTTCCAAATCACTGCAACTTGCTGTTTGGTATATAAATGTAATTGTTAGCTGTGGTGGGGTGACCACTGGTCTCCGATGTATTGTAGACGTTGTACGTCTGAATAAATGAGTAACTATGTAGTGACAGCATTTATTACGCCAGAATTCATGGACTCACATCTATTATCCAAATGTCATCCATGCAGTAGACTGTTTACGTATCTTTCTTCCAACCACATGTAGGAATACTCAGTCTGTTGGCACACAATAGTCCCCTGAGCTGTCCAAATTGGTGATTCTTTTGTGACTTGTGCGTTCATTGGTTTAGAATGTGTCAGAACTGATCTAATTCCTGGTGATCCAATGAGAGATTGGGAGTATCTAGTATTGGTAATAAAGTTTATTTTTATTTTTTTTTTCAATTTCCAGTCAGATAGGGGGACTTGCAGAAATGAAACCCAACTGGAACACTATTCTTACTGCCATTAATATGCTTCTTTATCTCTGCCCTGCGCCTGTGTGACCATTATTTAAAGCGCTTACATTTTCTAGAAACTGAAAGAAGAGGCCAGTAAGCTGCAGGAAGAGTATGGATACTGTACGCTGGATGGGCATCGGGAGAAGATTGGAAACTTCAAGATTGAGCCCCCAGGCCTCTTCAGGGGCCGAGGAGACCACCCAAAGATGGGAATGCTAAAGTTGCGGATAATGCCAGAAGATGTCATCATAAACTGCAGCAAGTGAGTAATCTGGGGTGCTAAACCGTTATCTGTGTAGGCATTGTTAGTACGCAAAGCAAAAAGCCTTGAGACCAGAATAATCCTTTGTACCTGCACCACTTCCATTAGTAATTTCATAATTTATATAACATCCACAGCACTCCAGCTTCCCCCACAATTACACTTTCTGTTTGTAGTCCACAATAACTACCTTAACAACTAAGAATTGTATGTAAAGGACACAATATATGCACTATATTAGTCAGACTACAAGATGTTAATTATTGTAAAATATTTTACAAAGTGTAAGTTAGGCAGTCCAGGCTGGTGTTGCCTTTATCCCATAGGTTCCCGCACAACAGACCTATGAGCAGAACAAGGGTCTCCTGTAACTGTAATTGGCATTCTGCTTCCGAACACAGCTTAAAAGACATTTAGAAATGTGGTAACACAGCAGGTTTGTATAAATATTTTGTTGATTCCTTGAGAGTACATTTAATTTATGGTATCCTAGAAACCCACTATGGCACTTCCCAGCATACATGCCTTGTAAAAGTATTCAAACCCCTTGAAAATCTATAATTTTTCTCAAATGGTTCAACACTAAAGACATGTTCCCAGGTACTGATCTCTCCCTTTCTTCTTTGGCCTGATTTAAGACTACCAGGCCCATTGATGAAAGCACCCCCACATCTTAATAATGCTGCCACCACCAGGCTTCTCGGTATGGATCGTGTTGAGTTATAGGTGTTTTGTTTGCGTTTGAATTGTAGCTGGTTCTGAGCAGTGGCTCCTTTCCTGCCACCATCCCAAACAGATAAAAGTTAATGCAGAGCCATTGAAATGGATGACAGGTGCAACCGTACTCCACACTCTGCCCCTGACCTCTGTATTGTAATGGGTTCACCTTTCCTGCCCTTAGTTTTAACCCTACATTGAGGGTTAATCCAGCCTCTAGTGGCTGTCTCCCTGACAGCCACGAGAGGCCGCATTGAGGACACGCTGGACATTCATAGGAAAGCATTGAGTAATGCTTTCCTATAGGCGGTTTGAATGCGTTCACAGCTCTGGCCGCCCATGCGCATTCGGAGCTGACGTTAGCAGGGGAAGGAGAGATCTCCAGGGCCGAGGGAGCCCGGCGCTTGATTAAGGTAAGTGGCTGAAGGGTTTTAACCCCTTCATCCCAGCGGGAGGGGGGGACCTTATTATAACCTTATAGTGCTAGGACAAAGAGTTTGTTTTCCTGGCACTATAGTGCTCCTTTAAAGTGACTGATTGGCTCTTCTTCACATTCCTCCTTGCTTGTGCCCAGGTGATGTGATGTAGCCTCTACTTCCAGATGATCGATCCAACAGATTTCATTTCGATGTTCCCTTTCCTAACTGGTGTAGTTTGAGCACACTGTTTTACTGCTGTAGAATGTGTCACAGTTCATTGTCACAGCATTCCTGCATGTCTACAGGCTGACATGCCATCCTTATCTAGAGTGTGACTGTTATTCAGAGAGAAATCGCTGTTACTTTAGTATTTTACAGGTAGAGCCCAGTTCTTAGATAATTGGTTTGTCATTTGGGGCATTTTTCAGGTATGTAAATGTTTGCAGATCTGAGTGGACAAACTTCATATTTTAGTTTTAAATATTTCTTCAAAATATATTTTGGCATAAAATCAGCATCACCTTAAACAAATTGCTTTTAAAGAGTGGACAATATTTACATATATAGGATTTATTTTTATTTATTTTTAAACTGAGAATTGGTCAAAGGTCTGAATACATTTGGAAGATATTCTATGTATCTGTAAATGTGTAGTCCTATTTTTTATTTTTTTATTATTCTTTATTTTTGGGTTGTCGTCGCTTCCATTGCACTTACATCAGTACAAAATATAAATGCATTCAGATTACATAGCATGGTTACATACATGAGGTTGTACAATAGTTGGTTTAGGTTCTGTTGTCTAATTGTTGCATGATGAGTTGGCTTCCCCTCAGTCTATCATTAGTATATTGTGATGACAAGTTTTTTGTTTTGTTATTTTAATAACATGAAAGAACATAATAAACATTTCCCTTACGTAGCTTGTTTGTGGCCCACTGGATAAATGAATAGAAAGGGGAGAGAAAGACTTGGGAACAGACAGGTGGTGCATATGTGGAGAGGCTCCTGGTTCAGAAGTCATGGTGGTTGCCTGGGTCACAAGAAGGGGTCGGCATTAGTGTGCATATATAAGGGGTACCCCAGGATGGCCTGTTCGTGGTAGGAGTCTGTTCCTGTTTCCAGCCACATCAGAGGGTCAGGGTTGGGATTCTTATTACTGGATTCGGGGTGAATACTATCGCAACCCATTCTCCCGCCATCCACAATTCCCAAAAAAAAAATTTATGCTTTCACAGTGCCCCTAATTTGTGCAGTCAGGTTGTCCATAGGTCGTGTATGTGTAGTTGTATGTGTAGTCCTATTAAAAGTATTCTGCGTATGTCTAGGCCTTCCCACTTAAGGGGACACTCCACTTGGGGTATATCTAGAAACAGTTTGCACAAGCTGCACATCTCTTATCTGCAGTCTTTGCAAACTCTCCCCTTTATCCCCTCCCAGTCTTTGTGTCTGCCCAATCAGACCTCCCAATGCAGCGCAATGAGAAGTTTCTCCAAGGGGTGCTCTGGGAAATTTCTGCCTCTTGAGTTTAGCTCCACTGAGCTAAACAAACCAGGAAGTAACAGAACCGGTTATCTGACAACCAGCGGGATGTAACAAGGTTATTTATACAAGTAACAATTTCTATTGAAATCTGCAATCCTTGGTAACTTTACACATAAAGCATGTCAGTAGGATAAAGCGCTTTAGGTGTCTGGAGTGTCCATTTTAAGCCAGTTTCTGACCGTCTTTGCTCACCTGTGTTTGTATGCAGAGAATTTGTCCACTTCAGGGATGCATTTTGAAGCCAGTGTATTGTGTAAATATACCTGGTGCAAACATACAAGGTTTATCCACAAACAAAACTCTTGCTCTACAGGTGATACTCGAAAAATTAGAATATCGTGCAAAAGTTCATTTATTTCAGTAATGCAACGTAAAAGGGGAAACTAATATATGAGATAGACGCATTACATGCAAAGCAAGATAGTTCAAGCCGTGATTTGTCATAAGTGCGATGATTATGGCTTACAGCTCATGAAAACCTCAAATCCACAATTTCAGTAAATTAGAATATTGTGAAAAGGTGCAATATTCTAGGCTCAGTGTCCCACTCTAATCAGCTAAGTAAACCATAACATCTGCAAAGGGTTTCTAAGCCTTTAAATGGTCTCTGTCTGGTTCAGTAGGAATCACAATCATGGGGAAGACTGCTGACATGACAGTTGGGCAGAAAACCATCATTGACACCCTCCATAAGGAGGGAAAGCCTCAAAAGGTAATTGCGAAGGAAGTTGGATGTTCCCAAAGTGCTGTATCAAAGCACATTAATAGAAAATTACGTGGAAGGGAAAAGTGCGGAAGAAAAAGGTGCACAAGCAGCAGGGATGACCGCAGCCTGGAGAGGATTGTCAGGAAAGGGCCATTCAAATGTGTTGGGGACTTTCACAAGGAGTGGACTGAGGCTGGAGTCAGTGCATCAAGAGCCACCACACACAGACGGATCCTGGACATGGGCTCAGATGTCGTATTCCTCTTGTCAAGCCACTCATGAATAAACAATGTCAGAAGCGTCTTACCTGGGCTAAAGAAAAACAGACCTGGTCTGTTGCTCAGTGGTCCAAAGTCCTCTTTTCGGGGGGCGGGGCCGGGCCGCCGAGCTGAGCGGCAGCCATCCGAGCTAGCTCCGGCAATAGGCCGCATCAATATAAGGAAATAATGCATTAAAAGCCCACCTGGAACCGAGACAGACATGGGCATTGAGCGAGAGGTGGAACGGGAGCACACCGCATGAGCCCCAGCTAGACCACGACCGAGCTATCTGCATAACTTAGGCAAGATGGGCCCACGGGGCCTAGGCGCATGCGGCGACGGCCGGTGGCGAGAGACAGCACGGCAGAGGGAGAGAGGGGGATCAGGACCCGCTAGAGAGACCTTGCAATGACCGACCGGCTTGACATATAGGAGCGCCCTTGGCATTAGCGTACCAGAGGCCACGGTAGAGAGCAGCCTGCACAGTTACAACTTATTTTGCCAGGCACTACTATGCCACCTCCAGCGGAGAGACTCAATTATCGCCGCTCTACAGATCCACTTCACCTGAGCGCTGTCCCAAGTAAAGAATAAATAAAACAACAAAGGACAGATAAAGATAACGGGACTGTTCCATGATAATTCGTTTAAGAAACCGTTCTTTCTGCAATTTTAGTTTTTACTTGCTTTGATTATTTGATACTAGTTTGTCATTACTAAGTTAGCTTAAAATGCTAAAGGAATACAGAGTTTATGCTATAATACCCATAGGGGCCAATGATTGATGCGGTTTGTTGCTGCGTACATAATAGCTGCCAGCTACATGATAAGCTGTGAAGTAGCTTATTACTACATACCTGACAACCAGATAGCTTTATTATATATTAAGCCAGGCTATTACAATGCGTTTTACATGTTTGTAGCTTTAACGGTACTGCTTATGTACTACCTGACCATGCACTGACTTATTTAAAACTGCATGACCTGTTTGCACCAGGCCTCAGAAATCCGATAAATCGGGAAGCCTTAACATCTGAGATTAAGCTACCAGTCCGCTATACATCGCAGTATATCTTTAATCGCATTACATACATGACTGCATATATAATGAACATGCTCGTCTCATATAATTAGCACCATCAGCATTACCAACATGGTTTTTAAACGACAGACTGCTGATGTGACTTATCAGAATAGCTTCGAACCAGATATAGACACAGGCACGCCGACGGCTGTAAATGCATCAAGCTTTTAAGTCCCACGCAGCGGAAAATCAGATCCTTATATTAAACATATACTGTCACATACATCAGCAACGGATATCAGAGGTTCACTGGGATCATACACAGAAATAAGCTATACTGACCACGCAATTACATGCCACTCCAGTGACATGCACGGCTACCGGATTATATCCAGGCCACACTTAACATTAGAGAATACATACAATTATAGGACGCAACCAGGTGCAGACGTTAATGTTACCGCAGTTAACAAACTAACAGTCTTTCATTGCCTTTTTATTATACTAGCTCACCATGACATGCTTTTGATTGTGATGCCTACTTTTGAAAAGCCTATGTATACTTAATATACGTGAATATGTGCATACATTGACCCATACGCCTCTGCGCAGGCAACCGCATGTTAGTCAGATGAAACCATAATATGTTTGTCTCATGTCAACTACAATTTTTAAACGCACGCCTCAACGTAGGCGACTAACCGCATCAACTGTACTACACTTGAAACACGCGTTGATACGGTGAAAACAATAAAAAATATTTAAAACAAAGTCCTCTTTTCTGATCAGAGCAACTTTTGCATCTCATTTGGAAACCAAGGACCCAGAGACTGGAGGAAGAATGGAGAGGCACACACTGCAAGATGCTTGAAGTCCAGTGTGAAGTTTCCACAGTCTGTGTTGATTTGGGGAGCCATGTCATCTGCTGGTGTTGGTCCACTGTGCTTCATTAATTCCAGGGTCAACGCAGCCGTCTACCAGGAGATTTTGGAGCACTTCATGCTTCCTTCCACAGACGAGCTTTATGGGGGTGCTGACTTCATTTTCCAGCAGGACTTGGCACCTGCCCACACTGCCAAAAGCACCAAAGCCTGGTTCAATGACCGTGGGATTACTGTGCTTGATTGGCCAGCAAACTCGCCTGACCTGAACCCCATAGAAAATTTATGGGGCATTGCCAAGAGAAAGATGAGACTTGAGACCGAACAATGCAGAAGAGCTGAAGGCCACTATTGAAGCATCCCGGTCTTCCATAACACCTAAGCAGTGCCACAGGCTTATAGCTTCCAAACCAAGTACTGAGTCCATATGCATGTTTGTACTTTTCAGAGGTCCGATATTGTTCTATGTACACTCATTGTTTTTTTTGATTGCATGTAATATTCAAATTTACTGAGACTGTGGATTTGAGGTTTTCATGGGTATATGTTGAGCCTTATTGTTAAGCCATTTTAGCCTCAATTTCTTAAAAATGTTCTAGAATTTTAATTTAAAGTTAATATATGCTAGTGTGTGTAAAAAAAACAAAACACCACTTCGCTTACTTTTTGTCAAGTTGTTTAAAAACAGGGATGAAAATATATTCTGCCCAGTACAGTTTTTTTGGGGGAAAATGGCAAATTGAAGATGGATCTTTGGGACATTTAAGTAACTCCTATATTTTAAAATGTTTAAATACCAATTGCCAAAGTGGTGACTTTTTATTTTTACATACACAGTATTTTTATGCTTATTCTCTAAATCTCATGTGTTCCACTGTAATAAAATTCTTAGCTGTACCCAGCAGCAGCTCCTGATTACAGCAATAAGCAATATGTAAATCTTTGGAAAGTAACAGTCTAAATCCCTAAACTATCCCGAATTATAAACCAAATATAACCATAACTCTTACATTTTCCCTAACCTATACCCTAATCATATAATTAACCATAGTTATACTCTTAAAGGAACTCTATAGGATCAGGAATACAAGCACGTAGCTTGACCCTCTAGTGTTAAAAACAATATTTAGGTGGCTGGCTCCCCCTTACCTTAAATCTTACCTTTATTCCAGCACCTAGCGGGTCTGCTGGTGCTGGCTCCGCCTCCTTGGCTGAGATCACCAGAATTGACACGCTGCCAATTCAATGCTTTCCTATGGGAAAGCTTTGGATTGACTGAAATAATCAATTCTGATCATTTCTGTGAAGGGGTGGAGCCAAACGCCATGCTGGACAATCAGCACCTCCTCATAGAGATGCATTGAATCAATGCATCTCTGTGAGAAATGTTCAGAATGTAGGTGCACTTCTAGTGGCTGTCTGAGTGACTGCCACTGAAGGTGTCCCTAGGCAGCAATGTAAACCCTGCTTTTTTTCCTCTGCAAAGGCAGTTTTTACATGAAAATAACTTCATGTACTGGCAATACACACTAGAGCCACTACATTAAGCTGTAGTTGTTCTGGTGACTATAGTGTCCCTCTAATCCTAAACTTAACAATCTTATAGGGTTTACTCTGCTACTGTCAATAGAGGGATCCCCATTCTGACCTTAATTTTAATCAACCATAATCCGAGCCGTAACCTGAAACATCCCAATACTACCCTTAATTCTAAACCTTATCTTAAACATAAACTTAATAATAACCCCAATACTTATTCTAAGCCAAATCATAATCCTTAATTTAATCTTAACCCCAAAGGTTTTCCTCCTAAAGCCATACTGACATTAGTAAAGCGGTTCTAAGCTACATTGCTGCCATCTCCTGGATATTTTCAGTATGGCAATTTCCTATCTGCAATACTGAAGATAGTATGCCCAGTGCATTGCAATCTGTGTTGGGCAAATGACAAAGTCCAGCAGTTAGAATGGCATTGCGTCACAGAGGGTGACCCCTAGGGTCTGTGGGCCTCCCACGCACCATATCCTTTAAGCGAATGACTGTAGCTGAGTTTAATCGCTTAAATGACACTAAAAATGTCCCCAGCTGACAGATGGCAGCTACATTTATCTATTGATACCTGGACTTCCTGGTGTAAACAGGGATTTAACAATGCTCACACAATGATTTAGATATAGGCATTTAAATGCATCAAAAAGTCTGGGACCACTAAAAATGTCCCCAGCTGACAGAGAGCAACTATTGATACCTGGGATTCCTGGTGTGAGCAGGGATTTAACCCTGTGATCTAGATATAGGCATTTAAATGCATATAGATCATCAAAAAGTCTAGGGCCACAAAAAATGTCCCCAGCTGATAGAGGGCAGCCCAAGTATCCATTGATAGGGACTCCCTGGTATGAGCAGAGATTTACCATACTCACACAGCTTTGTAACAGTGGCAATTTAAATCACTATTTAAATGCTTATTTGCAGCGCTCACTTTAAACTCTGAAACACAGCATTGGTCAGTCTGGGGCAACTAATTCTGGCCCCAGGAATCAAATAACACCTGGGGTTCCTAGTTACCAACAGGGAAACAGCCCCTGCTGGAAAAATACTGCGTGATGGAAATGTTCTATCATATGTCCTTAAAGGACCACTATAGGCACCCAGCTCAATTAAGTGGTCTAAGTGCCAGGTCCCCCTAGTTTTAACCCTGCAGCTTTAAAACTGCTATGATTACATTGCAGGGTTAATCCAGCATCTAGTGGCTGTCTCCCTGACAGCCACTAGTCCCCGCGTCCGCCATTCTCAGTGAGTAAATCGCACTGAAATGACGCTGGACGTCCTCACGGAGTCCAGCGTCAATAAGATTTCCATAGGAAAGCATTGAGTAAGGCTTTCCTATGGGCAGGTTTGAATGCGCGCACGTGCCTCTGGCCGCGCATGCGCATTCCGCTCCACTCGGGAGCTGATGTCGGCAGGGGGAGGAGAGGTCACCAGTGCAGAGGGAGCCCGGCCCTGGATTAAGGTAAGTAGCTGAAGGGGTTTAAACCCCCTTCAGACCAGTGAGAGGAGGGGGACCTATTAACCCTATAGTGCCAGGAAAACGGGTTTGTTTTCCTGACACTGTAGGGTTCCTTTAAGGTATTAGTGAACACCATTGTTGCGCAAATATAATTGCAATACAATGTATCAAAATTCAAATCCCTATCCACATTTCCCTTCCCAGAGAATCAAAAGTTCCTGCGCCACCTGCTGGTCACAAGTGGAAGGAAGTTCGATATGACAATTCAGTTACTTGGCTGGCTTCATGGACTGAAAATATCCAGAATTCTATCAAGTACATCATGCTAAACCCCAGCTCCAAACTCAAGGTGAGTGAGATCTAGTTACCAGAACATGACTAAGCGATGTGTGATGTAGTTACATTTAACATGCACCACAATAATAAGCCACTTAAAGTCCACTGATCGGCAATTCTATCTGCAATGTATAGGGAGAGAAAGACTGGCAGAAGTATGAAACGGCACGCCGTCTGAAGAATGTAGTTGATCAGATACGATCTCAGTACCGTGCAGATTGGAAGTCTCGTGAGATGAAGAAGCGACAGAGAGCAGTGGCCCTCTATTTCATTGATAAGGTGACATATCTTCTACTGCCTGTTTTGACTTGTGTCCGTGGCAAAGTGTGATCTAGAGCTGAAACCTGACTCGCTGTTCCTAGAGGGGTATCCGCTACACCTCACTGACAAGGCTAAGAAGAATGGAGAAATCATCCAATGTTGTTGGTATTGGTCTTTTCTTCTCTCACCTGGGACTAACCAATGGGAAAAGTTATTAAATATCTGTCCTGTGTTCTTACACCCTGTTACAGCTTAAAGTTGCAGTTGTTCAACGTAACATGGTTAATATTTTTTTAATCCATTAATTTGAGAATGTCGTCCATTTAACAGCTTGCACTCAGGGCGGGGAATGAGAAAGAAGAAGGTGAAACGGCAGACACTGTGGGCTGCTGCTCTCTGAGAGTCGAGCACATACAGCTACACTCTGAGATAGATGGGCAGAAAAATGTGGTGGAGTTCGACTTTCTGGGAAAAGATTCAATCCGATATTATAACAAGGTCCCCGTGGAGAAGGAGGTAACAAAGTCCCATTATCTTCCCCTCCCTTCAAAACTCTGCTGTACGTATAGTCTATCAAGATAAAATTATAAATAGAATATAATGCAAACTAGTTTAGCAACTGCCTCTGGTTTACTTTAGTTACTTGTTGGAGATATATTCTTCTAAATTGTCTATGTGTGTATATTTTTTAGTAGCATGTTTAGGAGTATTATAATTCTAAGAGTGGATCTAATTCAGTATTACCGCGGGTTGCTTTGCTTTTAGAACCAATAATGTTTTATACAGAAAGCCTCTCTCAGGATCTGTTCTTCTTTTCTTCCTGTCTTCTTTAGTTTTCTTTAAAATCATAAGACAAAGTAGGGACTCTTTGCTCCTCCGCTGGTCAAGCGGAGGAAACCTCCATAAGGCAAAGTGTGCTTCATTTCTGCTGGTCAGAGCAATTTTCCCATAATTCCTACATTTCCTCTGTGACCTTGCGATGCTTCCTGCCATTTTAGACGAAACTGCCGGATTGCTTTCTAACTGAATGAGAACAGTATGTTCGTTTGTTTTAGAACTCAATTCGGCACTTTGTTCGTATCGGAATTTCATTTGAATGAAACTCCGATTCAATTTGTGCCGTGGCTGTATCTTGCAGACGCTTAGTAGATAACTCCCTAATTCCCATGGTATTAGGGAGTTATCTTCCAAAAGGCTGAACAACCTAAATTGGTCTTTCAGCCAACTTTACTAATACTAAGTAAAGATTACTTGGTATTAGTAAATAATATACCCCTACTCGCTATAACGTGAGTAGGGGCATGTCAAGTAAACAATTGTCCCCCCAGCCCCCACCTGTGCAGAGTCCTCCCACCCCTTGGCCCCCACTCCTGAGCGGCGGTGGGGACCCTTAACAGTAGGGGGGGGGGAGACCTATTGCCTCCCTTCATTATCTTTATGGCCCCCACCTGCCACCCGGGGGGGGGACAATAGGGATTTTTGGGGGGGGGGGTTTAAACCGTGAGCAGCCACAGGTATAGCGAGTAGGGGCATTCAGGAGATTTTAATCTCCCTCATAGAGTGATGGGGGGCTTAGGAAGTGGCGGGGAGCATTGCTCCCTGCCGCTTCTATCTTTACATATTACAAGGAGGGAGCTGCACGCCATGACGAATTAATAGATGACGAATGAATAGATGAAACTCACGTTCGAATGTCCAAGTGTTTAACTGGGCATGTGCGGGAATCTCACAGGCTATCTGTGTGGGCAGATGATGTGTCCCACAGGGACTTCATCTACCCACACAAAGATGGCGGCGCCCTGAATATAGGTCGGGGCAGAAAATAAAGAAAAAAATAGGTAATATGGGGGGCTTAGAGGCATTTGGGGGTGACTAAGGGGTCAGTTAGATGTAGTGGAGTCGGGGGCTTTTAGTCCCAAATCTACACACTGTACAGGTTCTATGCTTACTCGAACACCCAAGAAGAAGCACAAGCTTTGTGGGAGACGTGATGGAGTGAAATGTATCGAATTTTACGACAAAGATTGAGGCTAATGTATAAAGCGCTGTACATTCCGAAGCCATGCACATGAGATTCGCCTCTGTATCTCAATACAAACTGCAGCTCAGCACACCACATGCGATGAGTCCTAAAATCTCTAGTCTTTGAAAAGTCACCTTACAGTTTTTATACCCCAGCAATCAGTAAATGTAAAATCATTTACATAGACTTGGTTTACTGGGAAGTAAAGATTTGAGCAGCGCTCACAGATGGCGAGATCTTCTCACGATGTGCTAAGCACGCTGTCATCTTCTTTTACAAACTGCATTCATGGAACTATAATATAATAAGACATTTGGTTTTTGATTTTTATTTCTAGGTGTTCAAGAACTTGAAACTGTTTATGGAAAATAAAGACCCAGATGATGATCTCTTTGACAGACTCAATGTAAGTAATGTTTTAATACAGTTACAGTAAGAAATGGTGCGTGCTCGCTCTGGGAGTGTTGGTGTGATAAGGAATAGCTCGCTCTGTGAGTGTAGGTGTGATATGGAATAGCTCGCTCTGTGAGTGTAGGTGTGATATGGAATAGCTCGCTCTGTGAGTGTAGGTGTGATATGGAATAGCTTGCTCTGTGAGTGTAGGTGTGATATGGAATAGCTCGCTCTGTGAGTGTAGGTGTGATATGGAATAGCTCGCTCTGTGAGTGTAGGTGTGATATGGAATAGCTCGCTCTGGGAGTGTAGTGTAGGTGTGATGTAGGTGGAATAGCTTCGCTCTGTGAGTGTAGGTGTGATATGGAATAGTTCGCTGGAATAGCTCGCTCTGGGAGTGTAGGTGTGCTCTGGAATAGCTCGCTCTGGGAGTGTAGGTGTGATCTGGAATAGCTTGCTCTGGGAGTGTAGGTGTGATATGGAATAGCTCGCTCTGTGAGTGTAGGTGTGATATGGAATAGCTCGCTCGCTCTGGGAGTGTAGGTGTGATATGGAATAGCTCGCTCGCTCTGGGAGTGTAGGTGTGATATGGAATAGCTCGCTCGCTCTGGGAGTGTAGGTGTGATATGGAATAGCTCGCTCGCTCTGGGAGTGTAGGTGTGATATGGAAGGGGCTCATCACCTGGATGTAGGTGTGATATGGAATAGCTCGCCTGGGAGTGTAGGTGGATATGGAATAGCTCGCCGCCTGGGAGTGCAGGTATGTTTGCCTGCCTGGGAGTGTAGGTGATATGGAATAGCTCGCCTCGGCCTGGGAGTGTAGGTGTGATATGGAATAGCCTGCCTCAGCCTGGGAGTGTAGGTGTGATATGGAATAGCTCGCTCTGGGAGTGTAGGTGTGATATGGAATAGCTCGCTCGCTCTGGGAGTGTAGGTGTGATAAGGAATAGCTCGCTCTGGGAGTGTAGGTGTGATATGGAATAGCTCGCTCGCTCTGGGAGTGTAGGTGTGATATGGAATAGCTCGCTCGCTCTGGGAGTGTAGGTGTGATATGGAATAGCTCGCTCTGGGAGTGTAGGTGTGATATGGAATAGCTCGCTCGCTCTGGGAGTGTAGGTGTGATAAGGAATAGCTCGCTCTGGGAGTGTAGGTGTGATATGGAATAGCTCGCTCTGTGAGTGTAGATGTGATATGGAATAGCTCGCTCTGGGAGTGTAGGTGTGATATGGAATAGCTCGCTCTGTGAGTGTAGGTGTGATATGGAATAGCTCGCTCTGTGAGTGTAGGTGTGATCTGGAATAGCTCGCTCTGGGAGTGTAGGTGTGAGTGTAGGTGTGATATGGAATAGCTCGCTCGCTCTGGGAGTGTAGGTGTGATATGGAATAGCTCGCTCGCTCTAGGAGTGTAGGTGTGATATGGAATAGCTCGCTCTGGGAGTGTAGGTGTGATATGGAATAGCTCGCTCTGGGAGTGTAGGTGTGATATGGAATAGCTCGCTCGCTCTGGGAGTGTAGGTGTGATATGGAATAGCTCGCTCGCTCTGGGAGTGTAGGTGTGATATGGAATAGCTCGCTCGCTCTGGGAGTGTAGGTGTGATATGGAATAGCTCGCTCGCTCTGGGAGTGTAGGTGTGATATGGAATAGCTCGCTCGCTCTGGGAGTGTAGGTGTGCTATGGAATAGCTCGCTCGCTCTGGGAGTGTAGGTGTGCTATGGAATAGCTCGCTCGCTCTGGGAGTGTAGGTGTGATATGGAATAGCTCGCTCGCTCTGGGAGTGTAGGTGTGATATGGAATAGCTCGCTCGCTCTGGGAGTGTAGGTGTGATATGGAATAGCTCGCTCGCTCTGGGAGTGTAGGTGTGATATGGAATAGCTCGCTCGCTCTGGGAGTGTAGGTGTGATATGGAATAGCTCGCTTGCTCTGGGAGTGTAGGTGTTTTATGGAGAGAATATAACTGACAAAACAGATTTTCAGCTTTAAATGGTTCAGAATTAAAGTACTGATTGGCCTGCAGACACGTTTACAGAACTGTAGGTAGGAACTACACTTAGCAGCCACCTGTTGCAGGACCAGCAATCCCACAACAGCAAAGCAAATAGAAGAGAAATCTCCAGGCTCTCAGAATGTTAAAGCCGCAGGCAGGTTTATTGAAACAGAAAAGACAGCAACGTTTCAACCTAACAGGAGGTCTTTGTTAAGCGAACACTACAAAACAACATATAGCAAACAGTGTGAACAAGGTCCCCAAAAAATTCAATAAAAAAATCTAAATGTTAACATGATCATCACATCATTAGCTTCGGTTATATGTGTGCATATATTGGTCTCTATTTGACAGATTGCTTGGAGACATAGGTGCTGGATTATTACAGTTTCGTGCTATTCTTTTGTGAGCTCATGTGTACGCATGCGCGAACATTTAGTGCCGTCTGTGTATTACTATACCAACGGCCTTTGCTTATCCCTCTCTCTCTCGTGCGCATGCGCTGCCACTATGCGTTCCAAGACCAGGAAATGCTTTCATGCATTCCACCTACCCGGTAGTGACTCCATTGGTGTTTAGGGTAAGTGCCCTCTGCTTATTTTTTGCATTTTTCTTTTCTTTATTCCTTTATTTTGTTTTACTTTATTTTCATTTATTTATTTTTCTCCCTCCTCTGATACACAGGGGTAAGTCACGGATTATTATATTTATTACATGTATGGATTCTGTTCTAATTTGCACGGCTTGTTTAAACCAATTCTGCTAATTAATCATGTTAATATTTTTTTAATTTAATTATTTGCGGACCTTGTTCACACTGTTTGCTATATATACACTTTATGTTGTTTGTGATGTTAGCTTGACAAAGACCTCCTGTTAGGTTGAAACGTTGCTGTCCTTTCTGTTTCAATATACCTGCCTTCGGCTTTAACATCCTGAGTGCCAGGAGATATTTCTTCTATTTGCTTTGCAGATCCGTTTAGGCTGTTCATGTAGTAAGACCAGCCACAAAAAGGCCTCCTTCAATAAAGCAGCTGCTACAGGGCGTGGGTTTGCAGCGGTGTGGGTTTACTGTTGCATGATGCCCAGAACATAGTGTCAGATACCGGGCAGGGAGTTTTGTATTTCTGCATTTAGCCCTACCATTCTTTTAACTGGCAAAGTACCAACCGAGTCCGACTCCATTGCATTCCACTCAGACTGCATACACACTAGACACGCTCTGCAGGGACAGTGTGTTAAACACTCAGGGTTACTCTCTAAACTTGAATTTTGACAAATTAAATCTGAATTGGAAAATGGAGACAAACGCTGGTTATAATAGCTGTGTTGGAGAATTTAACCAAAGCAGGTTTTGGTTTTTTTTGTCTGTTTTTCCGCTTGGATTTCATTTTTGGGAAATTTTCTGTTTAGTGAATAATCCTTTCTCTCGGTCTCTTGGCAACTGCTCCTATCTGAAATGATTTAGTGTCAGGACAAGTCGATTGTGCTACTGTTTTATTCCCTTTGGACAAGTAGATCTAATTTATTCCCCTGGTTCGTGAGTTATTCTATTGTTTTTGTAGTTTGATTTATTCATACTGATAAAACTTTCTCCTCTTTTCCCACATCCCCACCCATCCAGACCACCATTGTCAACAAGCATTTGCAGGACCTGATGGACGGGTTGACAGCTAAAGTATTCCGAACGTACAATGCCTCCATTACACTGCAGAACCAACTGAAAGCACTGACCAATGGCAAGTCGTCCTTTACCGCATTGCCTTGATTCATTTAATGTGCGATTGGCAGCCATATTGTGTTCTGCATGTTCGAGGGATCAGAGCGGCAGCACTCTAGGTCAAAAGGGGCAACCTATGCACCATAACTACTACAGTGCGCTATAGTTGCTAAGATAATAGAGCGCTTAAAAGGGCAATCCCAAGTTTGCTAACCTCCATTGCGTACCGTTATGGTTCTTTGAATGTCCCTTTAACCCATTAACATGTTCTGCAGGGCTAATCCGCCATTAGGGCAGCATACACAACTTAACGGTTTAGTCCTCCCTCTGGTCCGCCTCCCCTCCCAAATCTGTCTGAGGGCCTGCCTGACATCCAAAGCTGTCCCGCTGCTGCCAAAGACGTCAAACTTCAGCCCTGAGCCAGGAGAGGCAGAGAGGTCATTGCCTGAACTGTGCTAAAAGTTATAAAAGTGAAAATAAAGTGCTGGTCACGGTATGACTGTGACTGTCCCAGAAATACAAACCTTCACAATAACAGTAGATGTTTGTGAACCAAATAACTATTTTAGCCTCTTTATGCCGGCTGATGACTGAGCTGGTCTTTGAATTGGGGGTCACATTACAGTAGAGAAAGCATGTGGCCCCCTCTGATGTCACAGAATGTAAATTATTTTGGGCAGCAAATGTAGATTAAAGGAAACCTTTTTTTATATATCATTATTACTGGAAATTTAACGTGTTTTATATAGCTAGTTTATTCAATACATTGTTAATGAGCACATATAAGTTCTAACCTTTTGCAGTGCTTCACTCCAATTACCCCTGCTCTGATCTGGTTTGTCTGCATAGTTTTGGTTGGATAAGCTGTGCTTCCAACTAAGTGGGACTACCCCGGAGTGAGGCTAGTACTAGTATGCATGCATTACAAAATGATGCATGTCATCTTTAATATAAATAATAATTACATCGTGGTTTTTTGGGGGGGGTTTGTCTGCATTTACTGATGTTTTCTTACTGGTCTAGTAAGTGCAGTGTGTCTACTTAATCCCACAATGCTGTGCAAACAACACCACAAGTAAACCAAGGCAGGATTTGAGGGACTCACTGACCAGCATTGCTGTAAAAGTAAAACTCTTCAATAATGTCAGCAACACTGTTACTGTTAATGTGACTGTGCAATATAGTGAGAGAAATAGGGTACCATATCTCCGCTCTGTAAGGACACTACTGCATAGATTTTATAAAAGTTAACATTCAAAAAAACAAGCTAGTTTTTAGGGATCGGCCGATATTCAGTATTTTCGGCAATATCAGTATCGGCCAATAGAGATGCCGATATTACCGCTAATACCTCCTAGGACCGCCGGGCCCGTTACAAGCCCGGCAGTCCTGGGGGGGCCCGCAGCAAGCTGTTACTTTCCTCCCAGTGCAAATCTCGTGAGTCCCGCGGCCATCAGAGCGTTGCCACGGGTTATGATGGCAACGCTCTGCGCAACACACTGGCCGCGAGATTTACACAGGGAGCTGGAGGAGCTGCTGGGAGGTAACTGCTTGCTGCGGGGCCCCCACTGCTCAGTACGTGTCACTGGACCACCAGGGAATGTCATAGCCCCCCTCCCTGGCCAGGTAACAAGCAGGGAGGGGGGTCAAAAAATAAAACCTATAAATATTAAAAATACAAAATGCCTCCCCTCCTGCCCATTTTACATAAATTACATACATACACCGCATCCACTACATGTGGCATGTATATTTTGTGCATTTACCTTTAGAAATAGTTTATTTTTTTCAAAATGGTAAATGTACAGAATATTGGCAAATTATAGGCTATCGGCCTGAGAGTTCACAGATTATCGGTATCGGCTCTTAAAAAAAAAAAACAATATCGGTCGATCCCTACTAGTTTTTGCACTAGTTGATCCTAGTTTTTATAGCATCTATGGTGAGCCAGTGTGCTCCGTGCTGACCATAACCTCCTGCTCAGCTGAGGTTTATGGGATATAATACTAGTCGCACAGAATGAATCCCTCTGCTATTCTGTATGGCTGCTACCTACCTGCTGACCGTTCCATTTACACCATGCTGAGTAAATGTCAATTTTGTTTTTTTTCTTCTTATTCAGTGTAACTAATTTGATTTCTCCTTACATGTGTGTACTCTGACCATCATGGCTCGGGAATGCTTTAATTCTTATGAAAACTCTGGATTGTAACAGCCGATGATAATGTAGCTGCTAAAATCCTGTCTTATAATCGGGCAAACAGAGCTGTTGCATTACTTTGTAACCACCAGAGGGCGCTACCCAAAACCTTTGAAAAGTCCATGCAAAACCTGCAAGCGAAGGTAAGCTGTTAGGCTTTCATTTCTTTCTAAATGCACAAAAACTTGCATGTTGTGTATTAAATACAAAATGTCCTTTGCTTTTCATATTTAGTATACTTGCAGAGGGATCCCGGCAATTTTGTCTATTTAGACATAGTTACATAGCTGAAAAGAGACTTGCGTCCATCAAGTTCAGCCTTCCTCACATATGTTTTTGCTGTTGATCCAAAAGAAGGCAAAAAACCCAGTCTGAAGCGCTTCCAATTTTGCAACAAACTTGGAAAAAATTCCTTCTTGACCCCAAAATAGCAGTCAGATGTCTCCTTGGATCAAGCAGCTATTACCCCACTAATTAGAAATTATATCCCTGTATGTTATGTTTTTGCAAGTATTTATCCAATTGCAGTTTAAACATCTGTATGGACTCTGACAAAACCACCTTTTCAATCACATAATTCCACATCCTTATTGCTCTTACCGTAAAAAAACCTTTTCTTGTTTTATATAGATAATTGGGCAGACTAGATGGGCTGAATGGTGCTTATCTGCCGTCACATTCTATGTTTCTATATTCAGTTACTCACGATTTCCAAATCCTTAACGGAATGAGCTACATGGATCCCTGCTATTTCCAAACCAATATTCATTTTAAAATGGCGCATCTGAATTGTGACTACAGAATAGTGGCAGTAATGTAAAGTTGGGAGGCGGGGTTGGTGTATCCGTGTAGGGTTCAGTGCAGTTTGAAATACCGGGGGGTGGGGGGGACTTAGAATGTTTTTTTTTTAGAACAGGTTTCCTGACAATACAAAAAAAGCGGCTGTGAAATCATGTGTTTACAAATAAAAAGTAAATGCTGGTGATTCCCAGACCTGTAATTACCTTATTGTTTTTCTCGAGTAATTATATGTCTGTCTCCACGACTTTGTTGTCTGGCAGAAGCACAGAGTCCAAGTCAAAGTTCCAATGAGTACTTGTGGTCTTTTGTCTGAGTTTGATTACCTTGCATACAGAGGAACCCAAGGCTTTAAAAAAAATAAAAATAAAAATAATCTGCGTGATTTCTGAAACTCCCTACAGTTTGAAATCTGATTCTCTCTATTGGGTAACCGTGATAACATGTTCTCTGTGCAGGGCTGCGTTGTCTACCCAGATAGTTGTATAAGCCACACTCTCTATATTGAGCTTTATGTCTGGCTTCTGTTGTGATTCTCTCAATAGTATACAGTAAATCGTTTGTCTCGACTCGTGGCCAGAACAAAAATGGACACAGGTTCTGGGTTATTTACAAAATAGGCCACAGTAGATGAACTGGAAAAATTCTCAGCCAGTGTTCTCTCTTTTAATTTTACTTGACTTTACTTATATTTATGCATTAAGGGGTCAATACATTTTCTGCAATTCTTGTCCATTCCTAGTGCACATAAGGCTCCCATTTGTAAATCCTATTTGGATGGAAGACCATGTACAATCCATCTGAAAAGGTCCCAGAAGCTGAGGCCTTTTCAGTTGTCCACTATGTCAGGATTCACAAAATCACACTGGATCCTAAGTACTTGCACAGTCTTGGGATAAGCGGCGCTTACATCCATAGAGGACTTAAAGGACCACTATAGTGCCAGGAAAACATACTCGTTTTCCTGGCACTATAGTGCCCTGAGGGTGTCCCCACCCTCAGGGTCCCCCTCCCACCGGGCTCTGGGGGGAAAAAGGGGTTAAACTCACCTCTTTCTCCAGCGCCAGGCGGGGAGCTCTCCTTCTCCTCTCCGCCTCTTCGGCTGAATGCGCGTGCATTCAGCCAGTCCATAGGAAAGCACATGCTTACTTGGCAGGAACCTCACATCCTGGTTACTGAGTGACAGGATGATGGGACGTGGCTCTGGAGCTGTGCTGCACACCTTGTGTGTGTGTGTCAGGGTGTATGTTTATGTCCGTGTGTATCTGTATCATGGTGTGGGCATGTATCAATATTTGTGTGTGTATGTATCAGTGTCTTTATATGCATCTGTGTGTTAATGTGCAGGGTCCCCCTCCCGCCCAGCTCTGGAAAGGGGTTAAAACTTACCTTTTTCCAGCGCTGGGCGGGGAGCTCTCCTCCTCCGATCCTCCTTCTCTCCTCCCCGTCGGCTGAATGCGCATGCGCGGCAAGAGCTGCCCGCGCATTCAGCCAGTCACATAGGAAAGCATTCATAATGCTTTCCTATGGACGCTGGCGTGCTCTCACTGTGAAAATCACAGTGAGAAGCACGCAAGCGCCTCTAGTGGCTGTCAATGAGACAGCCACTAGAGGAAATAGGGGAAGGCTTAACCCATTCATAAACATAGCCGTTTCTCTGAAACTGCTATGTTTATGAAAAAATGGGTTAACCCTAGCTGGACCAGGCACCCAGACCACTTCATTCAGCTGAAGTGGTCTGGGTGCCTAGAGTGGTCCTTTAAAGAAAGCCAATGTCTTATAGCAAGGGAAAGCAAGGGTGTGAAATTAAAGTTGTACCTAGTTCTATATGTGGACTTTTTACTCCTGATATACTGCTATGAATAAGTGTTGCTTAAAAATAAAAAAAAACAATGTATATGTCATTCTACAGAAGCAAAACATTTCCAATTCATGTTTTTATTAACCAAACTAGTAACATCTAGTATTCTTACAATGTTACGGAGTAAAACTGCTGGGCTTCTCCAAATTGATCTGATTTTGTTATTCTGACCCAAGTATGTACCTTCTTTTTCTGGCTATACAGATTGATGCAAAAGAACAGCAGGTGAAAGATGCAAAGAAAGAGTTAAAGAATGCAAAAGCAGACCACAAGGCCAGGAAGACTGAAAAATCCAAAAAGTAAGGAGTTAATAAAATATTGGTGCTCCAAACATTGAAGGGAGCCTAGTTTGCCAATTAGCATATCATAGGGAACATTTTACCAGCTATAGCAGGACAGTAATAGAAAATACCTCTAATGGCTGTCTGAGTGGCACCCTCTAGATGTAAACACAGCCTTTTCACATAACTGTGTTTACAAAGCAGAGACTGCAGGGAGAGTTTCTCTGCAGCAGAATGGCTAATTACATTTGGTGGTGCTGGTATGAAGTGTCCTTTTAACTTGACGTACGTCTGTTTGCCCAGTGCAGGGAACTGAGCTACTGGAGGTGGAGAACCCTAAATCTACATTTAAGGCTGGTCACCTTTGCACTAAAATAAAGCATGTGGGCAGGGGAGGGCTGGCAGCTTTGGGCTTGTGGGGCAAATACAGTCAATTAGCCCATTGCACCACCGAATCAGCTCGCCATCCATGCCCACCTTTTCCTGGTTTTATAACGGATATAGGTTTAGTCCATGTATCAAGCATGTTTTGTATACATCGATGGGATTTCCATCCCATACACAGTCACCAGGGCTTTACAAATTTAATTGGAATCTAGAAGCCAGCTGAAAAAGTTAGGAGTAAAGTTTTCAACGTCAAAAATACAATTTTTAAAGGACCACTATAGTGCCAGGAAAACATACTTGTTTTCCTGGCACTATAGTGCCCTGAGGGTGTCGCCACCCTCAGGGTCCCCCTCCCGCCGGGCTCTGGGGGGAAAAAGGGGTTAAACTCACCTCTTTCTCCAGCGCCAGGCGGGGAGCTCTTCTCCTTCTCTCCGCCTCTTCGGCTGAATGCGCGTGCATTCAGCCAGTCCATAGGAAAGCACATGCTTACTTGGCAGGAACCTCACATCCTGGTTACTGAGTGACAGGATGATGGGACGTGGCTCTGGAGCTGTGCTGCACACCTTGTGTGTGTGTGTCAGGGTGTATGTTTATGTCCGTGTGTATCTGTATCATGGTGTGGGCATGTATCAATATTTGTGTGTGTATGTATCAGTGTCTTTATATGCATCTGTGTGTTAATGTGCATGAAAATCTGTGTGTATGTGCATGCATACAAGCAGTCAAACTCCAGCACAAAATACAAGCACACTACTGCAATCTAACTCAAATATTACATACACACACCCCTGCATTCAAACTAAACAAAAAATATACATACACACCCCTTCACTCAAACACAAATACTTCACACAAATGTACATCTGCATTTAAAAGTGAACATTACATTCAGACACACCCCTGTATTAAAACACTACTATATACAAACATCCCTTCAAACACCAACACTGTACATTACACTATAGCGCCAGTAAATACCGCTGTACAGATATACAACCTAGAAATTTTGACTTGGGGTGCCTTGGAAAAATACTGAAATATTAAGGGCGCCTTGAACCTAAAAAGTTTTGGAACCACTGTTCTAGACAATTCTTTGAAAATGTAGAATTAAAATGTATATATTTACATTTTCTTCATTCACCTTTGCAAGCAGACTACTAATAATTACTATAAATTAATCGGTTATAGTCAAGCCATTTTTTCCAGACACATTTATTACTTTGGTGTGCATTGAAAGGTTTTTGTTTATTGACGAACCAAAGTGTTGCACATATCTAGCATCTAAAGTATCTCTTAAGTTCCCATTATTTTACATGGTAGTGATGCTATAGTGTTTTATTTAGCAAAGCCAGAAGGAAGTGGCATCAGTTAGCTGGACACTTGGAAGACCGTTGCTTTTACATATTGCAGTTATCACCAAGATATATACTACTAGTGCTGTAGTTTTCTTACACACTAAGAGAGTGTGGGCTACAGATGCCGTGGAGAGCCCGTTGGTCAAACTGATTCCTAATGATATAACATTAGGGGACAGCACTCACCGATTCTATCCAACATAACTGCTGTACTGTTTATTTTGCTTTGTGTCCCATTAATGCTTTACATGCCATTAGAGTATTGTATATCAGGGGTATAGGTACTCTGTATAACATTGCAATTATTTCTCTCCCTCAGGGATTTGGAGAAGAAGGATAAGCAATATAAGAGGTTGGAGGACCAGTTAATGAAGCTGAAGCTACAGGCCACAGATAAAGAAGAGAACAAACAGATTGCTCTGGGGACGTCTAAGCTCAACTATCTAGACCCGAGGATCAGTGTCGCCTGGTAGGTAACTTGGCCTCTGACATCTCTAACCAGTCTCAGGGCTGCACTCGGATGCTATCTTCTGTGATTAGTCTTGATTGCATACGTAGGCAGCACCCCTCTCTGACCACCGTCTGGTCTGCACGCGGAGTCAGCACCCCTCTCTGACCACCGTCTGGTCTGCGCGCGGAGGCAGCAACCCTCTCTGACCGCAGTCTGGTCTGCGCGCGGAGGCAGCACCCCTCTCTGACCGCAGTCTGGGCTGCGCGCGGAGGCAGCACCCCTCTCTGACCGCAGTCTGGGCTGCGCGCGGAGGCAGCACCCCTCTCTGACCGCAGTCTGGGCTGCGCGCGGAGGCAGCACCCCTCTCTGACCGCAGTCTGGGCTGCGCGCGGAGGCAGCACCCCTCTCGGACCGCAGTCTGGGCTGCGCGCGCAGGCAGCACCCCTCTCGGACCGCAGTCTGGGCTGCGCGCGCAGGCAGCACCCCTCTCGGACCGCAGTCTGGGCTGCGCACACAGGGTGTCTTCTGAGACGTTTAGAACCGTGGCATTGAACATTCTTGTTTGTCTACATAGAAACTGTTTGTTTGTGTGCTGCCTCATGGTAACAGCTCTCTTCCTTGCTCTACTGTTTTTCATACTTAAATGACTGTAAACTTTTCTCCACCTGTTGCTTTCCAGCTGTTGCTGATTCAACTCCCATAATTTTGTCCCACAATTTGAGTTTAAATGTCTAATTACTTGTAAGCATGAGCTCTGGTTAAATGTTTACCTTATTTTATTAAGGTGTAAGAAGTTTGGCGTGCCCATTGAGAAGATCTACAACAAGACGCAGCGAGACAAGTTTGCCTGGGCAATTGACATGACAGATGAGGACTTTGAATTCTAACTCAATCCGATCCGTAGTCAAAAACAATAAACGTCTACCTCTAAACTTCATGTCTGACCCTGCTTGCTGGTCATATGTCCTAAATGTAGTTTCAAAAACATCACTGCTAAAATGGAGAAGGGAATAGAGAATCTGTACCAGAGACCATTCAGTAACGTAAGGGTGGAACACCTCATATAAGGTTGTTTAGAGGGTTTAGGAAGATGGGATTGTAATCGAGTTAGTACAGATGTCGGGGTATTTGCATTGGGTAAGAAGGAAAAAAAACAGGATCCTAAAGTTTGAAGTCCTGTCTTGCTTTTTTTTTTTTTTTCTTTAACGAAATTGAGCTCAATTTCTATTAATAATATTTTAGGAACGATAACATGAACCGCACAACGTTGGTTTCCTTACATTCTGCATCTTGTTTCGGAAGACAAAATTACTGGTTAAATAAAAGTCCTTCACCTGAGTTTGGGATAATCCTGTTGGAACTTTTATCACTCGGCCCGTTTAAATGGTATCAGTCCATGAAGTTTATCCATTGTTTAACTATTTACATATCATTAATGTCTGCAGTTGTGTTAAAACTATGGAGGTTAAAATATTGTGTTTTGTTTTGTTTTTCGTGTGAACAGGAGGAGGTAGACAAAAGGTCTTATTTCCTTTTATTGTACAGCATTTCAGTTTTGTTTTGTTTTGTCAGAATATAATAAAAGTTGGGTCACTTTCTGTAATTTTGGTTTCTTTTCTATTTCAAATTCATGTGTTCAGAAAAAATAAACCCACCATTAAATAGTTAATGTCTGTGAGTGCAGATTACTAGCCTGTATTTGAAGCATTGAAGAATGTTGGTGCTCTAATTATATATTATATGATTGGCAGATGATCGAAAAACATGAAAATGATGACACAGAAAAAAGCCGTGACCGAAGGAGATTGTAATCTGGGAAGAATTGGGGATAAATAAAAAAAAGAAATTATAATAATTTGGGTGGTAGGAGAGGTAGATGGATAAGATACCTGTCCTGTATCTCTGAGAGGTTGTAACAAGGATAGAATCGTAGAATGGAATGTTAGTCTAGTGGACTGTGGAAGCAATATTTGTGGAGAGACAGGAGTACAGTTGAAACACATTAGATGTTACCCAGGTAGAAAGGTTTTCCTAGAGAGAGGGGTTTTAGGCAGTGGTGTATCCTGGTTTTGTGCTGCCCTAGGCAGGACAAAACTCAGGCGCCCCCCACGTGCCACCCTGCCCCACCACACACACACACACATTCACTGACAGATACGCATACACTAGCTAACAGAAATACACTCACTTACTAACACACTCACATTAACACACTCATTTTTTTTTTTTTTTAAACCACCCCAGCCTCCTTACCTTTGGGAATGCTGGGGGGTTCTACCTCTCCCTAGGGTCCAGTGGGAGTGCTAGGCGGGCAGTGCTGGCGAGGGAGCACTTTCCCCTGAGCGCTCTGCTCAGCTCCCTCGTGACCCGCAGAGTGATGCCATAAAATGTCTAGTCTCCTATGATTTGTTACCGTTTTTTAAATGTCAAAATAAAGATTTGGCAAATGACATCCTAATCCGTTCAGACTAGGCACAGCCATGGCCCACATTGCAACTGAGAAGAAACAGAAACGTTGTTTCATTTCTCCTCCTCTCTTTCTGCCTCCCTATGCTGACTGCTTGGTGCAGAATACAAAGCTTATATCAGTGATTGACAGGGAGCTAAGATGGAGGCGCCCAGTTACACAAAGTGTGGTTTCTAAATTTTATTTTATTTGTAACTCTACCTTTTTGATAAATATAGGGATACAGAAGCATAATAAATATTATGGTTCTCAGGGTAGTCCATATACCATTTTAAATATAAATAATTTATTAGATCACATTTACACTTCTAAATAACACCCACTTTAAAAATGTATAGGAAAAGGCATCAGATCAGCAGCCTTTTGTGTAAAGGAGTGTGGGACTGCAGATAGATAGCAGGGTATGCCTTGACAGTGCTGTGGGACTGCAGATGGATAGCAGGGTATGGCTTGTATAGAGTGTGGGCGTGCAGATGGATAGCAGGGTATGGCTTGTCCAGAGTGTGGGCGTGCAGATGGATAGCAGGGTATGGCTTGTCCAGTGTGTGGGACTGCAGATGGATAGCAGGGTATATGGCTTGTCCAGTGTGTGGGACTGCAGAAGGATAGCAGGGTATATGGCTTGTCCAGTGTGTGGGACTGCAGATGGATAGCAGGGTATATGGCTTGTCTAGAGTGTGGGACTGCTGGTGGATAGCATACTTGATTGCACTATCTGAACTCTGATCTTTACCGGACATGTTCCAAAATAAAATGTCAGATTTCTAGAAAAGCCAGGAATGCTAGAGTTGCTGAAGGCCGTTTACATAGTTATGGACTAAATGATGACAAACAATGTAATTGCTCCTTTACCGGGATGGTTTAATTCCTGTCGACAAATTAAACATGTGGGAAGCACTGGATGATCTAAGTCTGGTATATCTATATATAGTTATGTAGTGCTGTTTTTTTTTTAAAGGGAACAGGCTTATAATGTGATTTAGCAAATTAGATTTGCAGGGAGTTAGTCTTAGCACTGTAAGTTGCACAGTGAGCTTAAAGGAACACTAACAGGAATACAGACTATGATTTTACTATGTACATGTAAATGGTTTAAAAGGTATTACTTTTTTTGTTTGTCTTTATTGTGTGTTGGCTGCCTTCGTCTTGTATCTTGTCCCCTCCTGTGTTAGCAGCTGCTCCTTACTATCCTCTCTGAGTTCTTTCACATTCCACCCCGACCTCCCCCAGAACCAGACAATCATAGTAGGCTGAGGAGGTAGTGGAGGCAGGGAAGTGCATATGATATCAGCCAACCACGTAATGTTTGTTTTGTTCTCTTCCCACTTTGCCCGCATAAGTGGAAAGAACATTTTAAAAAGGAACAATGAAAAAAAACTAAAGTATATTCAGTTCAGAGTTGGGGAGCAGGTTGCTATGTGGGCGTGTGTATGCAGAGAAGGGGACCCGAGTCGCAGGCTCTGAGAAATGCACTCTAGGAACAGCATTTAACTGAGAACTAACTTACTCTTTTCTCCCAGGGAAGCGCCCCTAGTGGCTGTCAGGCTGACCCTGTAATGGACACAAACTGTAGGACACACCACTCTCACCTCACAGTCCTGGTGCTCCATACCCAGGGCTGGCAAACCCCAATTTAATGGACAAAACTAAATCCGGTCCAGGTACTCTGCATATCACAGCCGCTTTATTACAACAGAAAAGGCAGCCGTATTTCGGCCTACACAAAGCGTGCCTGCACCGGATTTAGTTTTGTCTAACCCTGTAATGGAAACTTAGCTTTGTCCACAAAACTGTGTTTTCCAACTGTAACCGCAATGGGTTGGGCTGTAGGTGTTTTGTACGTTTGCCATAGTTTGTTAAATTGGCAACCTCGGTACCATACGCATACAGAGGCACAGTCCGCGTGTACAGTATATTTATAACCAGGATGGCATCATTAATGTCATTTATTCTGCTACTTGTGACACACTGTTAGATACATCATGGTTGGTGAGGAGAGATGGATTTGAGCAGGTTGGCCTAGTAAAACAAGTTTTCATCTATTTTTTTTAATGGTTTTGTCTGTATAGCCTATATTCTCACAGGTATGATGACCTCTAGCCTGGATTGTCCCATTAATTTACCGATTTTGCATTACCTGTTGATCCAAAATACTGTAGGTCAGTGCATGAAAAGTGTTGCCCTGCAATATTGAAAGTCAACTCAGTTGGTCAAACCGGAATCCCAAAGGAAATGTCTTAATTTATTTTCTACGGTAGTAATATACAACATATTACAGAGCGCTTCACAGGTTCTACCTATGGTCATACGTCCCTGTCCTGATTATTTTAAAATGCCAGTAAAACTGATGTGAAAATACATTAAGTAACCTAAAAAAAAAAAAAACATTCTAAAGAGTGGAAATCAAAAGCCCGGAGTATTTCTTTAAGGTTAGATGTTTGTCTCAATTAAATGATGGGTGTCTTGCATTCATGATGCTGCGGGCTTCAACAACTACTTAGGGGGGAATACAGTTATACCCCTTTATACAGGTGTTACTGTGGCAAAACTAGCCACTTAATACTATCACTATATGAATGTTTATATTCCTTCTAAGCTCTGCAATCGGTAGTTAAAGGCTTTCCTAGGTGGCCGTCGTTCGGCGGTCGGCCATCTTGGTGCCTTTGTTAGCCCAGTGGTGTTTGGTCGTCGAGCGCCTGGAACTAAAATCGGCTACTCGACGGCGCGAACACCGCTGGACTTCCAGGCCGTTCGGTAGCCCCGGGCGTTCGGTAGTTTGTTCCCCTAATACCAATCGGTACTTTAAAGGTGATTTGAAAATAATGTGTGTTTCATGCGGCACTCGGTTAGTTAGGCTGGGATCTGAGCGGTATTCTCACGAACTGTGCGCTCAGACCCCAGCTATCTACCGAACGTCCATTCGTTTAAATAAAGGGAATATTATGGAAGTTATGTATTTTAATGTAAAATGTAAGTTCTGCTGCACGGAGGGATAATCCACCTAGCTGTATATTCTGGTGGGAGTATCCCTGTCGTACAGCAGTGCATGATGGGAGAAATGTGTGTTGTTCAGTTCCCCATGTAGTCCCCTACTGTACCACCCCTGGAATGTCAGTAGGGAAACCCCTTGCATGGGGAATCCCATAAATACAGTGCCCTGTGAATAAAAGCTCAGTTGACTCCCAGCCTATGTGTCGTCTAGTTCTTGGGAGGGAAGGATTCTTACAACGCTACCAGGATTATTGGATGCTGTATTTATTTCATTGGATTATATTATGCTGTTCCTGTTACCCAGCGGAGATACTGTGGATTATACTACCTCTCCGCTACAGTTACATTGCAGGATACACTACTGGAGCCCAGTCTACAATGACTCCCTCTGTTGTATAATGATTGTAATGAGTGCAGCTCCTATTTACT